ATTAACAGTAGAAGAAGTGTATTTCGTTCTGACCCAATGATGGGATCACACACACACACACACACACACACACACACACTCTGCTGGGGGGAATCCTAGGGGAAGAGGTCAGAGAGTCAATGGCAAGGGGCACGAATTTGGAAGGTGAACCCTAGGTCTTCTCTTCCGCACACCTCGCTCCCTCGTGGTTTAGGCAAAAACAGGTATTGTTCTAACAATCACTAGAGTCAAGATGAGGGTAAGTCAAAAATGTATATTGCCCAAAACATATTCGAAACTTGTATTAAAAACAAAATATCCAAATTTGAAGCTATGGTTGGTTTCTCAACACACCCTCCGTCTAGATCGGTAGACTTCTGAAGGTGGTGTTCCCACCTCGCTGACACTTCTCTGAAGACTTCTGGGCTCTTCAAAAGGATAGCTTTGATATCCTCCAGGAACTAAAATTATGGTGTTTTAATGTTTTGGGATTTTTTAATAGTTTGTGGAACAAAAAGCAATCTAAAGGTCAAGAACAGGGCTGCAGGGTGGGTGGGGTCAGCTCCTGTTGCCCTCAGAGAATGAATGAGCCCGTGCATTCTCGTGGTGGAAGCAAATTCTCAGCACAACGTTCCTAGACGTTTGCTCACCCATGCAGTCTTCAATATTCTTTAAACTTCTTCCAAACAAGCTCTCGTGCTTGTCACATTCATTGATAGGCCAGCCCCCTCCCCCTCAGAGGAAATGCCCTTTCACTTGGTCGATGTTGTTAGTGTTAGGGTCGTTGAGTTGGTTCCAACTCATAGTGACCCCCTGGGCAATAGAAGGAAACACTGCCCCATCTTGTACCCTCCTCCTCATTGTTCTTATGTGTCAGCCCATTGTTACCACCACGTGTCCATCCTTCTTGTCAAGGGGCTTCCTCTTTCTCACTGCCCCGCTACTTGACCAAGCATGAGGTCCTTCTTCAGGGACTGGGCTCTCCTGAGAACACGTCCAGAGTATATGAGACGCAGTCTCTCCATCCTTGACACTAAGGAGTCTTCTGGCTGTACTTCTCCCAAGACGGATTGTTTGTTCTCTTGGCAGTCTGTGGTCCTGCAGCCCCTCTGACTGGCCTCCCCACTGGGGGGCCTCGGCTCGGACCTGCAGCCCTGACCTCTCTCCCAGCACCAATCTCAGATTCCAACTGTCAGTGGGACATTTTCATTCGGATCTCCTGCCAATCTCACTCTCAGCGTGCCCCAAAGACTCTCCAGGTCTACTCTCTGATCTCTTCCCCTGGATCACACGAGTGGTGACATCCTCAGCTGCTCACTGCAGTTCCAGCCTATTCAGAAGAAAGGCCTGGCAATCTATTTCCCCCAAAGCCCTCCAGTCCTTGAAGGCCGATGGAGCTTAGTGCTACTCCCACACACATGGGCTTGCCATGAATCAGAACTGACTAGGCAGCAGCGGGTACCCCTTTCTCCAAACAAATGCAATCTCTCAAATCCCGATGTCTACCTAATACAATGAGAGACATACTTCAGTGCTGTTTGACTTTCTGCTTCCTTACAGGTGAACTAAAGCCGCATGTCCATCCTATTTTCTTTTTGCTTCCCTTTCTAGTTCTGCAGGAAGGAGACTGGGGCAAAATCATATTACACTTGGACTCTTGTTTCATCTTCCTGTTTTCTTGCCCTCTTATCTACCCATCAAACCGCAGCTCTCCCTTCCAAATCATCCGGTGCACCAGAGTAGTCTTTTAAAATACACTTCAACGTGATCATTGCCCTGCTCCCCAAAGCCTTCACGATCTTCACAATGCCCAGAACATGAGATCTGACTTCCTACACCAGGCTTCCAGGACCCGGAAGGATCACGCCACATTGGACTGTGATCAGCAAGGTCCGAATTTTGAAACCACCAGTCAGCCGCTCCTTGGGAGAAAGACAGGACTTTTTACTCCCGTAATCAGTTAATCGTCTCGGAAACTCACAGACGCAGCTCTACCCTGTCCTACGGGGTCGCTAGGAGTTGGCACCCGCTCGATGGTTCGATGACCCTGGATAATATTACTGCACCTACTGCCATGGCCCCGGGGACGATCACTTCCGGCTGCTAGCCTTTACTTCCCGAAGAACCCAAGGTTCGACCTGCCAGATACCTATTCTTACCAATCTGTTCCCGGAGGAAATATGTCCCCGCTGCCCGCCCCCAAGAGACGTCTTGCCTTCTCTTGCTTCTGGCAGTCCCCTGTGCTTTCAGTGTTCTCCCAGAAACAGCACAAGCTATCGAGCCTTGCACTCTTTTGAAGAACTAGCTCATGTGGAATCAAACGAAAGCAGCCACCTAAGTGTGGACAGGAAGTTTGGGGCGGGGGGGTATGAGTGTTTGTTAATGGAGGAGGAACAATTCGGAAAGGGGGTTGAAAAAAAACCCCGTGGCACAACGTCAAGAATAATGAATGATGCCAAACTGGACTTGAAAAGCTGCCAGATCGGTGTCTTTTCTCGTTGTCTGTGTGTGTGTTTCTCACCGACCATAAACATAAACTAGTTTAAAAGAAACGACGAGACCAAACCAAAACTGAAGACATAAAAAGACGGCTCGAAGACCCAAGCCTGCACCAGGGAATGTGGCCCTGTTGGGAAAGAGGGTTTGTAGTTGCAGATGATGCTAGTTAACGAGGGGACTTCCGAGAGTGGGGTGGTCCCTAATCCTCTATGATTGAGGTCTTAGAAAAAGGGGTCCAGACATGGAAACAGAGTCACCCAGAAGGAAGATACCATGTGAGGATCCATCTATAAATCAAGGAATCCCAGGGAATGCAAGTCAAGATGAGGAAGTATCTCCCTCGCAACCAACACAGACAGAGCACATGTGCTGTCTCCCATGAGAGCATGCTGGGGCGTCCTGCATTTAGACTTCTAGTTTTCAGAACGGTGAAGAAATCCATTTCTGTTCTAGAAAGTCACCCCCTTGGAGGGATTTGTTAGGTAGTCATAGGACACTACATCCCGTCCAGAGAAACCAGACCCAAGTGCCAGCTCCACCCCAAGACCCTCTGCTTCCCCCAGGTCACAGGCACCATCCCTTGGCGCCGTTCACACCAAGAACCGTCGATGCCCGGTAAGATCCCAATGCCCAGAACCTGCCTTTTTCCTCCTTGGTACTCCAACCCTGTCATCACCACCACCACCTTGATCGGGAGCCTAGGGCAAAAAAAAAAAAAGCCTACCCAATGAATCACCATCAATATTTTTTTAAAAAAATTAAAAAAAGGAGAAGGAGAAGGAGGAAGCCAAGGAAGAGGAAGAGAAAATAATTCTATTTATTCTCTTGGCTGTGTGGGTGTGCTATTTGCTCTTGCTATTTCCCAGATTCATAGGCTCTTCAAACTGAAAGCCATTGGGTCAAATCCCTTATTTTATGTATATTTTAAAAAAATAGTCCCACCAGCGGCTTCTCCTTCACAAAACCCTGCTGGACCAGCTCCTCTGGCAGGAAGCCCCCTCTGAAATACCCACCCCTTGGAGCCCCCCCCCCCCATTACTTTTCCTCCACTGCTTCAGGCACCAGGAGAGGCACTGGGGCAAACTGAAGTGGCTCCCTCCGCCTCATCACTGGCACCTGCAATGCTTCAATGCCCCGACTCCTTCTGCTCAGAGAGCCCCGCCCGGTCTGCATGTGCTGCCTTCACACGTCTGGTCCCACAGGTGTCCTCCTGCGCACTGCTTCAAAAATCAATGGTTAGGTGGCTACCACCTGGCTTCGGGGGCTGGGTCTGCCCTCCCATTTTGTGTTAAATGCTATTCCACCATCCATAGGGAATTATTCAGGTGGAACTGTAGCAAACAAAAGAACTCGAGACAAGCTGTCACAAACTCTAGGCTGCATTTCCACCATTTTTAGTCGGTATGGTCTGAGGCAAATGACTTACCTCCATGGGTTTCCATTTCCTCCCACGATAAGTGGGGACAATATGATGCTGGCACTGGAGGTGTATTAAAAACTAGGGATAACATATTTGACCCAGAAGAGAAGGTAAAAAGGGTGGTGCCATGTACCTACTGTGTGACCTTTCAGATGTCTCTAAACCTCTCTGTTCTTCAGTTTTCTCATTTTTTGAAATCTGAGTAGGATAACATCTGAAGCTCTCTCTGAGTACTAAGTGAGATGATGTATGTAAAGTACTCGGGCAGTGGCTGCATCCTGGTAAGTGCTCTGTAGTTATTAAGGAAAAGATCCTTCTCTACCTTACATTACAAGGTTGTGGTCTAAACCAAGGGTAAAGCCCTATTTCCCAAAAGCTGGCCACCGATCGATTTAGTGGGATGCTACCATCAAATCTTTATCTACCCAAAGAGTCTTCAAAAAGGTCCTGGGGGAGGGAATGGAGCCGTAGTGGGATGTGGAAGCCCTTTCTTACCTAATTCAACTTGGGGTCATGCTATAAAATGGATTTCTGTGAGTCACAGTTAAACAAGTTTAAAATACCCTGGGCTAAAGCTCTCTACAAATAAGAATAAAACAACGCAGGAAAACCATACGTAGAAGGCTGCATCAGACGCCAGAACCAGTCGCCACCAAGTTGATTCTACCACAGTGGCCCCATGCTGGGCAGAACAGAGCTGTGCTCCCTCGGGTTTTCTGAGGGTGACTTTTCAGAAAGAGATTACTAGGCCTTTCTGCCCAGGCACCTCGGGGTGGACTTGCACCTCCAACCTAATGTGCAACCTTTGCACGTTGACCATTTGCAGCTCCTGGGTGCTATCTGAAGATCAAGTTCATCTTCCATCTCTCTGGAACTTGAGTTCCTTCTAGAGTCTTGTTCATTCTTTCTTCCTTCTTCTTGCATCTGACATGTATAGTCATCACAGTAAAGAGAAAGACCTTGCCTCAATCCACCCAGCCTGTACCACGGTCTAGTGCATGCCTCTCTCCATCAAGTGGAACCTTGAGCACTTGGCAGTAAAAGATGCTGCTGCTGCTGTCGGAAGCCCTGTCAGCTGGTAACTGTCTCTTGCACCTTGCAGTGACTCCGTCACCCACATTGTGGCAGAAAACACCTCTGGTTCCGATGTTCTAGAGTGGCTTCAGGTGCAGAAAATAAAATCCAGCGCACAGCTAGAACTCCTCGATGTCTCCTGGCTGATAGAATGTATGGGAGCAGGAAGACCAGTGGAGATGACAGGAAAACACCAGCTTGTAGTAAGTGATTGCCATTGTCCTTTGCTTGGTGACTGAGCGTGCTGGCTGTGGAATCACACCAGTAGACCAGCTGCCCTTGATCCAACAGGCATCAGAGCAGAGCGATGCGCTATAGGGTTTTCGGTAGTCCATTTGCTTTGGAAGTAGATGACCAGATCTTTCTTCTGAGGCACCTCTGGGTGGACTCAAACCTCCAACCTTGTGGTTAGCAGCGGAATACATCATTGTTTGTCATCCTCCACCCCCACCACCCCCTAGTGACTCCTAGAAGCATACTCCCAGCCATAGAGTGGATTCTGACTCCTGTAGGAGAGGGTAGAACTGCCCCTGTGGGGTGCGGAGACTGTAGCTTTTTACGGGAGTAGAAAGCCTCCCCTTTCTCCTGCAGAGCAGGTGCTGAGCTTTTGTTGGCAGCCCAACGGGGAACCACAGCACCCCCAGGGCTCCTCTTACAGATTCTCTGCTGAATCCCAGGTGACCTTGCCCAAGGCACTTACGCTTTCTGAGCTGCCTTTATCTCTTATGTGAGATACAAAGAGTATTGCCTACCCCCTCACATGGCTATGAGGATTAAAATGGCACACATCTAAAGCATTTAACTGTACATCCAGTGCCTGGTATGTACACAGTATGAATAATAATGGTAGGCACTGTCACATAGGTGTCAGACTGCTAACTGCAATGACTTTGCGCGATTCAAACAAGCCCACCCACGGCTCTCAGAGAGGAAGCCGAAGCCATCAGAAACACAAGCTAGGGCGACTGTGAGTCAGATTTGACTTGGCTTTGGCATTGAGTTTGGCTTTTTGGTTTATTGTGATGAGCCAGTTTACACACCAAACATTTCAAAACATCCAAATGTGGATGCGCTGGCAACAGGAAAACGTGCAGTTTCTTAGTCCTTGTTCTGATTATATTAATTCAACAAGAAAAAAATATAGAACAGTTATGTCTTAATTTTAAATCCTTGATCAAGAGTTGCAGACATTCAGGAGGAAAGAGGGCTTGACTACAACTACGTCACTTCAAAGGAAAGGAAAATGATATTTAATTGATGGTTCTTTTTCATACTTTCATTTCTGATTGCAAAAATAATGCATGTTTCATTTTAGCAAATTCACACATAAAAGAGGCAAAACGTAACACTGTTTGCTCACAGTTTTATTCCCCTTCCAAATACAATTGTTATCAAATGGGCTCCAATGCTTTTGTCCTTCTATAGCTATAGTTGTCGTCATTGTTCATATAATGGGCGCTTCTGCATCTGTTTAGGTGAGAAGAGATCTGTCATCCAACACCAACCCCGGTCCGCAGAAGACCCTACCACCAGCTGTAGAAAATATCTCGCAATACGCGTGCCAGAGAAGAACCTCCCTAAACAACTGTAACCGCATCTTCACGGTAATGGGGGTTTGCAACAACACCCCCAAAGAATGACTTGCAGCGTCTTCCCATTTATCTATTGATCACAGAAATTTCTGAAAATTCAGGAACGTATTCCCACACCCATTTAGCCACCTACCTCGCCTGATCTCTGGTTCTCCTTGTGTCAAAACAAGGCCTTCATCGTTCACGGAAGTGGAGAAACACTCATACACGTGGATTATGTTCTTTTAAAAAATGTTTCACTATAATACCATCCTTTATTGTGTTTGGGATGAAAGTTTACTGCGCAAATTAGGCCCATTGAATAATTCCTAGGCTCTGGCTCAGTGACCTTGACTTTTCTACAATGCGTCACCTTTGTGCTCCAGGTGTTCCCTTTCTGTTCATCTCGTGGCCCTGCTCCACTTACCTGCTCATCTTGGCTTCACTTGTAAATGTCTTGTGTGTATTCCACAGTCCTTTCCTCTGCTGCCGTTATTTTCAACTCCCCTTTGCTTTCACATTAACCTTGACTGGTCTCATCCAGATTGTTTTCAAAGGAGCACGTGGGCGATAGTGTGTGTGTTATGAGCCAAAGTGTTATTCAACTGAAGCGTGAGTTCCTGGTGTGGGTTTAGTACAATAGACTCAAGGGAATTGCAGGGCAATCTTAGGATTCCTCTAGTTTCTACTGGGTCCAATAAGTCTGATCTTTTACAAGAATCTGAGTTTGGTTTAACATTTTTCTCCTTGCCTATCCGGGACTATCTACAATGTTACTAGTCTGGTTTATATTCTTCAGAGATAGTAAATTATTATTGGCTGAACATTGGTAGTAGGCCCAACACTTCTCAAAGGCACATGGTCTGAAAAACAAAATACTCTAATTAGTCCGATACATAATTCAAAGCCTATTCCCAGCGAGCCGATTCCAACCCATAGCAACTCTATCTAGTGTTTCCAAAACTATCGATCAGTTTGGAAGCAGCTGATGGGTTTGGACTGCCAACCTTTTGTTTAGTGGCCAAATGCCTAGTTTAATCCATAAACTGAAAAACAAAAACAAAAAAACAACCCACTGCCATGGAATAGATGCTGATTCATAGCGACCCTGTAGAACAGGGTAGAACTGTCCCTGTGAGTTTCTGAGACTGTAATTCTTGAGGGGAAAGAAAGTCCTGTCTTTCTCCATAGGAGCAGCTGGTGGTTTTGAACTGCTGAATTTATGGTCAGCACCCCAATGTATAACCACTACACCACCAGGGCTCCCAGTCAATATATAGTAAGAATAAATTACGTAAAAAATAGCCTTGGTGCATAGGCAGTCTTTGTTGATCAACAAAAAGGCCACGAGTCAGCAGACCAGGAGCCTCCGCTCAGCCTGATAAACTTGTTCACAACCAAATTCACTGGCACCGAGCCAAGTCTGCCCCTATGTGGACAAATTCTCCGGACCTCTGTTTCTTCATCTCGTATGGAGAGATGATCTTACTACCAGGTGCTGTAGAATCATTCTCACCTCATAGTGACTTCCCCTTAGGAGCTGCTCTGTTCTATAGACCTTGGCCTACAGAACTTTGAACTGACAATCTGCCTTCCAGCTGCCAGCCCTTAGCCAGTATGCTAGCATATCAATCCTCTTTAAAGCCCTCTCCAGCTCTGAGGCTTGATAACTGTGCGTCAAGCGACCCTAATAAGCCCACACCTTCTTGTCTTCTAGCCTGGGGGCAGTCATCAGCCAGATGAACCCGCGCTAGCGCAGTGCTTTAAGCTTTCAGTTGCTAACAGAGAGGTTGGCAGCTGGGACCCACCAGCCCCTCCAGTAAAAAGATGTGGCAATCGGTCCTGCAGAGATTACAGCCCTGGAAAATCGCTGGGACAGGACAGTGCCACTGTGTCCTCTACGGGCACGATGAGTCAGAATTGACCCTACGGCCACAGGTTGGGGGGGGGGGTGTGCACCAAGTGCAAAGTTTCTCATTTCTTGACTTCCAGCCCCACTTCTGCAAGGAAACTGCAGTTAACTAGACAGGATGAGTGTGAAGTCACACAGCTGTGGCTACTTCCCCCTCTGCCAGAAATGCAAACATGCCCCACTTTAAATAACTGGGCCTTTGGGCACGTGACCTGAGATTACATCCATTCGCTCCAGGAGCCTCTGTTTAGTGCTGTGTTCTATGGGTTTATGCGGCGTTTCATGCTAAGAGAGTGAGATTTCCAATCTTCAGAACAGAATTCTAGCCAGAGTGGTGGGGAAGCCAGCAAGCAAAGAGTATTAGAATGTGGTCAGAGCGAACGAAGTCCCTTTCTGACTAAATCATTCATGGACTCAGTTCTGACTCAGAGCTTTCTAGTAGAACTGGCCCATCGGGTTTCCTGGGCTGTGCTTTTGACCAGAGCAGCTCCCCAAGGAGAGGAGGGTGGATTCCAATGGTTGACCTCGTGCTTGGTCGCAGATGGCTTAACCATTGCACAAGCACGTCTTCTTGAATGGCAGCACACTCTGACTCTGGCGCCTGCCATTTTCCCGGTTCCATTCCACAGCAAACATTACCTGGGTGGCCCCTGGCTGCAGACACAAAACCACTGTTAGACTCAGTCCTAGCATTGAAGGAGACTTTCAGAGGACACCTTGACTTAGGAGAGAGCAAGCAGTCATTTTTGAATGACCCTTAGCCCAGAGGCTAGAAAATGGATACGACTTTGCTCACTCGGATTTATTCTTCAGGATGCCTTTGAGATATTGGCTGAAAACTTTGAGTTTAGAGAAAATGGAGGGTCTTGCCTGGCATTTATGAGAGCGGCTTCTGTGCTGAAATCTCTTCCTTCCCCGATCATCAGCATGAGGGACACCGACGGCATTCCCTGCCTGGACGACAAGGTGAAGTGTGTCATAGAGGTAAGGATGCCATGTGATTGGTTTCACTTCCTGCTACTTCTTTCCTAGCAAAAATTGATATGAGAGAGGCAGAGGCAGAGAGACAGAGGTGCATCTAAGAGCGTTTCCTGGCAACTAGAAAAGATACGGTATTCATGACTTCTTTTCTTTTATCTGGGCTTATATATGTATAGCTGGAGAGAGATGTGTGCAAGTGTACATATATGTATAATCCATGTCCTAATAGGATCACAGCTAGATCACACCGAGTGGAAAAAGAAGGACTCTCCCATATAATCACTAATCCCGGTGACTCGGTGACCTACAATCTCACCAGCAAGTGAAGCATCTGAATTAAAACACATGTTTTTAAATGGAAGATTAAGGACTGTAGCCTTCCTCATGGATGACAACTGAAAGTTAAGAAAACAAAAGTCCTCGCAATTGGACCAGTAGACAGCACCATGGTCAATGGAAGAAAGATTGAAGTGGTCGAGGATTTCATTTTGCTTCGCTCCACAATCAATACTGAAGGAAGCAGCAGCCAAGAAATCCAATGGCACACTGCATGGCGTAAATCTGCTGCCCAAGACCTCTTTAAACTGTTGAGGAGCCAGGATGCCACTTGGAGGATTAAGGTGTGCCTGCCCCGAGCCATGGGATTTACAGTGACGTCCTAGGCATAGGAAAGTTGGGCAGTGAAGAAGGAAGAATGCCGAAGAATTGATGTGCTTGAATCACGCCATTGGGGAAGACCAGTGAAAGTACCACAGACTGCCAAAAGAACAAACAACCAGAATGTTCCTTTGAAACAAGGACAGGGAGAGTTCATCTCCCGTACGTTGGACATGTCATCAGGAGAGGCCAGTCCTTGGGTTAGGACAGACTGATGCAATGGGGTCAGCAAAAAAGAGGAAGACCCTCAGGAAGCTAGACTGACCCAGTGGCTTCAACAATGGGCTCAAGCACGACAATTGTGAGATGGCGCAGCACCAGGCAGTGTTTCATTCTGTTGTGCCCAGGGTCACTATGAAGCATAGCCAACTAGACAGCATCCAGCAACAACCTCAGCAAAGTCTCCTGCCCCCCACACACACCAAAGCCTATCTGGTAGTAGGTTTCCACATAGACAAATATGAGGTACATTATTCCAAATCTAAGGAGAAGAGGGTGACTCTTGGACAGGCTGGGTCTAAAATTATTCTGTTCAAATGAAAAGCCCTCTTGTTTCAGCACATTTAGATCTATTAGAAAGAACATCATCACAAATATTTGGACAAACATGTCGGCGACTATTTTGACTTGGTATTCTGTAGAGTTGGGCCTCATCCCTATAGTATCTTTGCCCTTGAGCATTGTCAAGAAGATCTTAGGCACACGATGAACTTGGGTTTTCAGAATGAGAGGGAAATGTCTTATCTTGTCTACATCTTCCAGGCAAGCCTCCTGCTTGCAATGGACGTAGATTCTGTGAAAGGTAAAACTGCCAGGTCTGTGGATTTGAGAGTCTCTGTCTAACACCACTAATCTAAAACATTTTTCTTCTGTTCATCCAGGAGATAATTGAAGATGGGGAAAGTGCTGAAGTGAAAGCTGTGTTGAATGATGAACGCTATAACTCCTTTAAAGTAAGTTGTAACAAACACGTATGTACAATGGCTTTACATTCATCAGGTAACTTATCCCGAATGGCCTAGGAAGCAGATGCCTGTATAACTGAAGGTGCCCTCGCTTGTTGCTCGGCTCCCAAGAGATACAAATGACCTTACCTTTCAGGAGTGTGTTACGCTTGAGTACAAAGGCAAAGACCAGAGGGATAGGCCAGGCCTGCTCATAAAAGGTAAACTTCTCTTTGGAACTCTCCTTGCTGTACCCTCTTTTGATTAGAGCAAGATTACCTCCCAGTTTCCCCTCCCTTAAAGGATGACTTTAGCCATCGAGTGCTGCTGTAACAGATGAATCACACATGGACGGCTTTCATACACAGCCATTTATTCTCTCACAGCTAAGGTGGTCAGAAGTCTTAGTTTCCAGTACCAGCTCTAGGGGAAAACATTCTCTGTGTGTCTGCTCTGGGGAAGGCTCTTTTCTCTTCACAACAGCTGTGGCTCAACCGTTTCTGGAGATCTCCAAGTGCCTAGAGTTTCCCCTGGGTGAAGGAGCTTGTCAGTACAGGGACCCTGGGTCCCAAGAATGTACCCCACTTTGTACTTTTCTTTCTTGCTGCCACAAGGTTGCTCTCATCTGTGCTCACTTGTCTCATGCCTTTCCTATCTCAGAACAAATTGATTCGTGACCTAACTGAATCCTGGAGATGGTCTCCTGCCTCATGAACAGCACTTTGATCAACCTTGTCTCTTTCACCTCATACTCGCAGACAGACGCAAACTCACCATCATCGAGTTTATTCTGACTCCGATCCTTTACAGGATCAGATTGCCTCATGCGTCTTCTAAGGAACAGATGGTAGATAGCAAATGCTATCCATTGCTTACCTGAAAGCAGCGCCGTGGGGACAATGACACCAGTTCACCAAAATGGAGGATAATTACATAATACTGAGAATCGGGGCCTAGCAAAGTTGATAAGTGGATACAGATGGGGGTGGGACAGTGGGCGGGGGGGCACAAATTCATACCAGCTTCCATGCACCCTTCTCAGTCCTTCAACCAAGACAGTTCTTAGCTTCCGAGCTCCGTCCCTCAACCATGAGTCTTGGATCAGAAGTGTTTTTGCCCAGGCCTAAAATGTGTGGCTAGGAGCCAGGCTCAGCTCAGAGTATAGAAGAACCAATGTTGAGTCTGGGATCTCTCCCATGTCAGTTGTGTGATGATGAAAAGCAAGCCACCTGAACAAACACTCCTCTTTACACTGTGAGAGCAAGTATTCTGAACATGACCACGTGGAAGAGACATTGGCCCAACAGAGATAACGTTAGGTCATCACTTACTGATGATGCAGCCAATGCCACTATCAGGTAATGTCTGTATGTCTGACCTGCTTCTTCACCCCCGTTTCACCTAATAATGCCATTGCCAGGAAAGGGCTTTGAAATAAGAATGTCTCCGATAAATTATTAGCACCTACCTGTAATGTTCAGGAGAAATGGGGGTCAAAGATTTGCTCACCTACTTTCTGAATTGCTTGAGATCTTGGGAAGTACCACCACAGTCGCAAAGATGGTTGTAGAAACTAATGCCATGCCTCCTCCATTTCAGCTTTTCACGTCTGTGTTTGGAGTGGGATTAAAGACATCCGAGAAATGGTTCAGGATGGGTTTCAGAACGCTGAGTAAAGTAAGAAGCGACAAAACCCTGAAATTTACACGGATGCAGAAAGCAGGTATATTGTGTCTCCCCAAACCTCTCCCAGGCTCCCTGGGCCTGGCCAGGTGGTGGTTCAGGTCTGATTAATCATCCGTGTTTTGCGCCCAATCGGATCGAGCGGGGAAAGCTCCTTTGCCTTTCTTCTGTCTTTGTGGCTGTTGTAGTGAAATGCCAGACTCACACTCTGCTAGCAGTAAAACCAAGCATCTTTTGAAGGATAAAACGTTTCATGAACCGGGGAGGCACCCAAGCAACCAGACAAGATGCTGTAATGCTGTAATGTTCTAACATGCAGAGAGAGAGTAGGTTCATCGGGTGAAACAAACCAGGGCAGACCTGATGTGAGGGAGGAAGCGAGCAAAAGGCTATTGTAGTTTGCCAAACTATCCTCCTAAACATTTAAACCCAGGAAATTCACTTGCCCCGATCTGAGACTGTTACACCCCAAAATTTATTTAACAAAACATCCTGGCGGGAATAACTTATGCCACAGCTGCAGGTCTGTCTGTCTCTCCCCTGATGGTAAATTTTATGACTTTACCTAGTAACTGGTTTACAAAGGGCAGAAATGCAATGGAAGATTCCAGTCGGGGATAATGAAGTGTCATTAAGACTGAGTTCATGGGCATTTATCTCATCTCGATGATAGAGTTATGAGATAGTTATAGGCTTCATCTTACCATGATCAATTTGAATCCTGTTTCCTAACCTCCAGGGACATGCTTGATCAAGGAGTTCTTTTCAGAACCCAGCTGAGTTAACATTCTTAGCAGACAGACGGTTCAGCAAACAATGCCTCACTCGAGCCGGAGGTCTCGTCTCTTGCTCTCTTTGTGTTACGAGCTGTTTGATAAAAAGACAAGTTGCCTCTTAAGAACAGTAGAAGTTTGATTCAGAATGGAGTTTTAATGGAGGCTGAAGTCACTCTTTCAGCCACGCCATTCCCTCAGTTTTAAGGTGTAAAGTCCACACCCACATGGTGAGAGCGCCAGCTTTCAGACTGCGACCATCTGCATTCAGAGCCCCCTCCAGCGCCTTCTAGCAGTGAGACTGTAGGCAAGTTCCAGTCATGGAGCCTTAGTTACTTCCTCTCTGGAAGAGAGATGATATTGAAGAATGAATCAGATACCGCTAATCCTTGGGCCATGCGAGAGATCTGTGCCTGAGTAGGTCTTTAGAAATCCATAGTTAATGAGTAGATGCTTAGGTAGACAGGCTGGCTGAACAGGTGTGGGAGGAAGAATGGGAGTATTCCCATGAATATCCATAGATATGACAAAGGACAGGTGTACATTTGTATTCATCTTTGCTAAAAATATACACAGGAATGTGGTGAAGCATGTAGGAGGCGAAGGTATGAATACTTCATAGATATAGCCAAACTCCGTGAGGAAATGAGTCACTAGCCCTAGGTGACTGGGATCAGACACTCCGTGAGACATGAAAGTCTATTGACATAAAACAGTTCATTACAGACGATGGTCTACATCTTACGTGGGTGAGTAGCTACTGGGATCTTAAGCACTGGTGAGCAGCAACCTAAGGTCCAGAGGGAAGAAGATGGTGAAAATCAAAAGGCATATGTAAAGCATCTGAGCTGATGAACGACTGGAACAACAAACATCAGCCTCCACAATCCTGAGACCAGAAGGACTAGTGGGTGTCCAACTACCACTGCCAATTGCTCTGAAAAGGGTCACATTGCAAGGTCCTGGATAGAGGAGAAGCAACCATTATGTGCACCAATGTTCACCATGGCTGGTGTTCTCAAAATAGCGTTTTTAAAGTTGATCGGTCTCATAGCATGTACATACGTGGTTTCTTTGCAGTACAGCGTGATTGTGATTTCAAAAGAATCTCACCGCCACAGTCCTAGTGACATAGCTTCTGCAGTTACGGTGCTTCGTGAAGTCTCACTGGAGCATTGGTCTTAAGAGTCAATATTTGATATATAGCGGCGCGCATGTCACCGCACACAGTGTGATGCGTTTCTTATAAAACGTGAAATACTTTTATCAAAAAGGAATGCCAAATCGGGTGTTTTCATGGTGTCAAAAATTACCATGCCGTTGTTAGGTGCCAGGGAGTCATTTCTGACAACACTGAATGTAGCACGGCCTTGTCCTGCGCCGTCCACATTGCTGTTTTCTCTGAGCCCACCCAGGGCCACAGCCACTGCGTCAATCAATCTTGTCGAAAGCCTGCCCCTCGACTTTACCAGGCACCACATTCTTCTTCAGGGCCCGGTCTCTCCTGACATGTCTAAAGTACGTGAGGTGAAGTCTGGCCATCCTTCCCTCTGGGGAGCATTCTGCTCGTACTTCTTCCCTGACAGAAGTGTTTGTTCTTTCGGCAGCCCACGGTGCTTTCAATATTCTCCTCTGCCAGCACCATCACCCAAATGCCTCCGTTCTTTTTCATATCTTCTTGAAGAAATAGTTGATAACCACGCCCTTTGTTTCTCTAATTGCACAAACCTCATTGGAAAAATGTACTACACGTCGTGCGGTTTGATACTGGATGCAAATTCATAGATACAAGGGGCATCTTCTGCTGCTCCTGCATGGCCTAGCATGGGAAGTTTGAATTGGAGAGCTTGTGAACATGATGTTCAAATCAGATGGCCTCCCTTTCCCCTCCCTCCCGGGTTCTTGATGGTGGGAAAGGAAGGATAGATTTGTTCTGTGTCATTCAGGATATCTGCATCAGCATCAATGACAGATGAAACTATGAAGACGTAGACTCAAATACATCAACAAAAAGAAGTGCCCAAGCAAAGTCTACAATTAGGAAATGGGTTATCTCAAGAGACGAGTCCCCAGTTCTTAGGAAGATGCAAGCCAAGTTTGGGAGTCATAGCTGAGAGCCATGACTGCTGTGACTCTCCCTAAACATCTTGGTCTCGAAGGCCTTATGCATCTCCCCACCTCCCTGACCCTTCTCTTCCAATGCTTCATCCCACAATTCTTGAAATGTGGCACACACACACCCCACACACCCGTATCTCCTCTCTTCTAACCTCCACAACACCTACCATAACTGAAATAGCCAAGAATAACCAAGTGGGAATAGCCAAGTCATTCGCCTAGCATCAACGTGACGCTGACCCAGTTTTCATTTGTCCACGGTGGTCAGGCAGGGGAGCACCAAGCCAAACCATCTATGACATTGCCCCCTGTAACTCAGACACACATCCTGCTCCTAATCTTGACTTTCATTTTCATGGCACTCCATCTTCTCCCAACCCTAAGCCTTCCCATCCAGAATCTTTATGTATCATCTTTAAAAAAAAAAAATCATTTTATTAGGGGCTCATACAACTCTTATCACAATCCATCCATCCATCCATCCATTGTGTAAAGCACATCTGTACATTCATTGCCCTCATCGTTCTCAAAACATTTGCTCTCCACCTAAGCCCCTGGCACGAGCTCCTCATTTTTCCCCTCCCTCCCTGCTCCCCCCTCCTTCATGAACCCTTGATAATTTATAAATTATTATTTTGTCATATCTTGCACTGTCCGACGTCTCCCTTCACCCATTTTTCTATTGTCTGTCCCCCAAGGATGAGGTTATATGTAGATCCTTGTAATCGGTTCCCCCTTTCCACCCCACCCTCCCTTCATCCTCCCAGTATCGCCACTCTCACCACTGGTCCTGAAGGGATCATCCGCCCTGGATTCCCTGTGTTTCCAGTTCCTATCTGTACCAGTGTCCATCCTCTGGTCTAGCCAGACTTGCAAGGTCGCATTCGGATCATGATAGTGGGTGTCATCTTTTTTCAAAGAAGAGGAAGCAGCTCACTGAGCAAGAAGTCTAATTCTCTAGTTAGGACATGAGATTCGAGCAGTTTGCTCTCCAGGGGGATTTGAAACAGTGGCTCCTTCTTCATCAAGAACACCTTAAGTTCCTCCATTGAAATGCAAAGCACCATCACTTCTGGAAACATTCCTCCACCAAATCGACAACATGGGTGTCCAGGCTTTATGGAAGCAAGGGTTGACGTTCATGCGGGTGGTCGTTAGCTCTGTGTAGGGGCAGAGCAACCACTTAGTGTGGGCTGGTTAGTTCACGCTCTCCATTGACCTGTCTTCCAGGATTCCTCTACTATGAAGACCTTCTCAGCCGTGTGACCAGGCCTGAAGCAGATGCCGTCAGCATGCTGGTTCAAGAGGCTGTGTGGGCATTCCTGCCGGATGCCTTCATCACTGTAACAGGAGGCTTCCGCAGGTAAAGGAGTGGGCTGCTTTTGCCCCCCCCCCCTCTACGCCATCCGTGGCTCCCTTGTAAGATTTCTCGGGTCAGAAAGGCCTCAGTCCTTGGTTTTGCATGAGAAAGAATTCATGCCAAAGCTGGATTTATGATCTGTGTGAGTTTTGTAAAAAGGATAGAAAAAATTTCAGGTTTTACAGTTAAGAAATGGGCACCCTCAGGACACTTCACACCCACATGTGGAGGCCTGAGGCCAGAGAAACCTCATCATGGTCAAGGACCAGCTGGAAAAGAGAAGGGATGGGCTTGAAATTTCAGCCTTTTGGGAGGCATGGTCCATGATGTTAGTTGACCCTGTTGGTTGAATTAAGCCCACCTGGCCTAGATTGGGGCCTTCCCAAGTGTACTGGCTTCCTGGCTCAAGGGTCTGAATTTGGGCTCGCCCTCTAGCCTTGATCGGCTTCCAACTTCCCGTCACAGGGGAAGGAGGCCTTGGCAGGTAGAGGGACAACCCCTGGTTAACACCCGCTTCTGCGGGATTTTCCACGAGGCATAATGCCTCTTGACCTGGCATCAGCCTCTCTCTGCAACCTCATTTCCCACCCTCCATAGTTGACCTCTGCCACTCCAAAGGGCTGGGCACTCCCTACACACTCCCTAGTGTGTCCTCCTCGGCGACTTCGCTGAATCCGGGGCCTTCTGGCTGCCCTGCCTCTCCCCAAATTGTCACCTGCTCATTTCTCATCCCGAACAACTCAATCCAGCAGGGACTTCCTTCAGGAAGTCTTTCTTGATTTCCTCTTCTCTGCGGTGCGTCAGGCACCCCTCATCCACCACATCACCCCTTTTCCATCACAGCACGGTGGCGATTTGTTTGTATGTGCATTTGTCCTGCTAAGCTTTTAATGTTTCTTACTCAGTGTGAGTCTGCTTAGTGTTCGGCACCTGTTGTGCCCCCCCCCCCCCCCACACACACACACACGATGCTCGAAAAATGTTGGTGGGGCCAATGAATGACTGAATGAGCTCTTCGCAGAGATATTGATATTGTGTAGCTGCTGGATATGAAAACTTCCAATTCACAAAGAGATTCCTCCCCTCCCCTCCCCTCCTCCTGCTCTGTCTGTGACTCTGGCCAGGTGGCTGGCTGGCTGGTAAGCCTGGTTTAAGGCAGGAAGTGGAAGAAGACAAGCTAAGAAAAAGCTCTCCATCTAGGTCATCATGTCAAGCGGGTGGCTGTGTGGATCCGAGCACAGGGCTTGCTTGTGGTCTTGTTTCTCCTTCCTCTCTCAGGGGTCCTCGGTGCACATATGCAAGGAAAAGAACGCATACACGTTGTCAGTGTTTGCCCTCATCTACATCTCAATTTATTTCGCAAGGAATAGAGTTCATTTAAAATAGGTATCAGATAACATTAAAAATTTTGATGTCGCAAACCTTAAACTTAAGGCCATGATATGGAGGTGCTTTTTCTGAAAGTCGGGAGCCAAAAATCTAATTTATTTCCATTTTTTATGTTTTTTAATCAGAGGGAAGAAAATTGGACATGATGTTGATTTTTTAATCACCAGCCCAGGAGCAACAGAAGAAGAAGAGCAACAACTTTTACATCAAGTGATAAACTTATGGGAGAAAAAGGTAAGGGGAAAGATAAAAAATAGACCTTTAGACACTCCCACATCATATAGATCTTGTTGTACCTCTTCCTTGTGTAATGACATCTAATCCATTCTTAATTATTTGTTTCTACAAGGCCACCTGACAAGCAATGAGACGTAACAACTTCAGTCCAAGTGCATCTGTCTTGCTTATTTAAACTTATCCTCTTACCAAAGCAACTGTGTTTGACCTGCATTGGAATGAAAACACCCAAACACCACAGAACACATAACAGCACAGCCCCAAACTGAAATTAAATTAGTTGGGGATTATTTGCTCCTGCAGTTACCACTCAGGTTTAGAAATTACTTGCATGTTTCCACCTCTCTCTTCCCCACATCTGTCCAATGCCCTGAAGCAGTGGTTCTCAACCTTCCTCATGCCAAGACCCTTGAATATAGTTCCTCATGTTGTGGTGACCCTAACCATAAAATTATGTCCGTTGATACTTCATAACTGTCACTTTGCTACTGTAATGAATCGGGTGACCCCTGTGAAAGGGTCGTTCAACCCCCAAAGGGCTCGCGGACCACAGGTTGAGAACCGTGCCCTAAAGAGTTCTCACTTGTAGGTAGTTAAATTGGATGACTGCCCGCACTGCTGGGAATATTTTTAAATAACATGCTACACTTTCTAGCTAGGCAGAATTTTATGAAACGTGATTCACTAGCCTTATCCTGCTCTGTCTCCAAGGCAGGCAAAGTAAGAGTGATTATCTCGATAAGAAAAAATACACCAAAATGTTACCTAGAGGTAACAGGTCATCTGCCCAGAAGTGGGGAAGAGCCTTGAACCAGGGATACTAACTCAAAGCAACTGCATGGAGGTAAATTGGGGTGTGTCTGTTGTTCATGGGTTGGTTGGTTGATTGACAGGCTTTCAATGGGGGTAAAGAGAGGCGTGAACGCTGGTGTGAGACGCAGATGAACTGAGGTTGGTTTGTATCTTTGCTTGGAGCTGACTTTACCCAGCCCTTCTTAATTGCTAGACTCACCACTCGCAGAGAGAAGACAACAAAATGCCTTCCTTCGCATCCTCTCCCAGTATTGTCAGTTGGACCCAAAAGCCGGGACAGAGCAAGAAAAGCTTTCATGAGGAGCCTCGTGTTGGCTCCGGAACCCTCTCCGCGGGGAACCTAGGCTGATATCTTCCTGTTTATTTTCAGGGATTGCTTTTATACTATGACCTTGTTGAGTCCACATTTGAAGAACTCAAGCTGCCTAGCAGGAAGGTGGATGCTTTTGATCATTTTCAAAAGTGCTTTCTGATTTTAAAACTGTACCATCAGACGGTAGCCAGTGGCCAGTCCAGCCAGCTGCAAGAAAAGACCTGGAAGGCCATCCGCGTGGACCTGGTCATGTGCCCCTATGCGAACCGAGCCTTTGCCCTACTAGGCTGGACTGGCTCCCGGGTAAGCTTTCCATTGATCAATCCCAGATGGTAGCTTTCCAAAAGACACCAGCTGATCCTGGAGGAGAGACAAAGGCAGCAGGGGCAGGGCGAGAGAGCAGTGCCCAAGCAGAAACCAAACCCATGGCTGGCGAGGCCATTCTGACCTGACTCACAGCGATCCTAGAGGGTCCTATAGGACTGAGTAGAAAGGCTTGCTCCCTAGGGTTTCCAAGCCTCCCATTCTTCACAGGAAGAAATGCTCTCACCTGTCTCCTGCCGAGCAGCTGGTGGAATCAAACTGCTCGCCTCTCCTTTAGCAACCGAATGCATAATCCACTATGCAATCGGGTTCTTGGAGCAAGCAGGGCCCAGCAACCCCGGAATCAGGCCATTCCCCCATAGGTGACCATGCACCCAGGATGATTAGTATATAACAATGATTTTCAGGTGTGATGCCCTGACCGGCAGCATTAGCCTTACCTGGGAACAGGCTAGAACTATGAATTCTTGGGCTCCCCTCGGGCTTCCTAAATTAAAATGCTTGGGGCTGAAGTCTACCAATGTTTGCAAAAGCCTGCTCAGGGAATTCAGTTGCAGCTTCAGTGTAAAAACACCAGTATAAAAACCAATTCTGGTGGTCCAGTGGGTTAAGGATTGGGTCGCTCACCACAAGGTCCTTGGTTCAAATCCACCATCTGCTCCTCACGAGAAAGATGAAGCTACCTGCTCCTGTAAAGATTCGCAGCCTCAGAAGCCCTAAGGAGTTCTACTCTGTCCGATGGGCTCACTAGGAGGCAGAATTGACTTGCTGACAGTAGGTTGCGTTGGGTTTTTATATAAGCCGCAAGGTAGTTAAGAGCATAGTTTTGGTTCCTCCCAGACCTGGCTACTAGCCCTGGATGTGCCATTCACCAGCTGGGCGATCTTGGAAATGTTCCCTGTGCCCTTTAAGGTTCTGTTTTCCCATAAGGAAAAGGAGGGCCAGGAGAGTCGTTTGCTAGGATTTTGTGAGCCCGCCCTGGCACAGGCTTTGGCACCATAGCAGGGGTCTGGTCTGTACTAGAAAAGGGGTCCCTCTGACTGGCACCCAGATCACATCGGGCACATAGGGCACCAGTAAATAACCGCCAAAAGACTATCTTTCAAACCCAAATCACTGTCATCAAGTCGATTCCAACTCACCGCGACCCCTTGGGACACAGTAAACTTTTGGGATTTCTGAAATTTTAAATATTTATGGGAGCAGACCGCCTCGTCTATCTCCCTCAGAGTGGCTAGTGGGTTTAAACCTCTGACCTTATGGTTGACAGCTCAGGGTGCAGCCTGTGACACCACCAGGGCTTCGTGAAAGAATAGGACCACTCTGCAGATCAAGGACACGATCCTCCTTTCTAAAGGTCTACAGGGAAGTGCTCCTGAGGTTTTAATACAAGGATCCAGGAAGATGCCTTCCATTCCAGAGGGTCTACGGAATGTCATAGGTAGCCCCTAACTGTCCACATTCAGCTCCTCAGTGACCCTTCCTTCATACCCAGTGTGAGCAGTCTGAAGCACTTTACTGAGGTCAGAGGAAGAGAAGGAGGGTGAGCGTGGCCCAAGGGCTCTGGAGGCTGAAGTGGAGTCTGAGAACTACACGCACTTGCGTAGCCCTGCAGTGACTGCACCCAGAGTCTGCTTCCCCTGGTTATGCCACCGCCGTGGCTCCCATGGCCTCTCTTATGCAAGACTTTGGGTTGGAAAATCTGCCTGCTCTTCCAAGCAGGTGGTGGAGATGGACGGTCCCCAGCTAGCTCTCCCTATAGGCCTAAACCCGTGGCTGGGCAGTTATTCCAGCTCACAGCGGCCCTCCAGGACAGAGGAGAACTGCTCCGGAGAGGTTCCAAGGTGGTAAATCTTTACAGAAGCAGACCGCCGCATCTTTCTCCCACAGGGTGGCTGGTGGGTGTCAACCCTCAGCCCTCTGATGACCAGCCAGGTGCTTTAACCACTGTGCCACCTGGGATCCTTCCATCCGGGCCTGTTTTAGGGTTGCTGCTGGGTGCCATGGAGTCAGCGTGGAGTCATAGCAACCGAACAAAACACTGCCCAGTCCTGCCCAGTTCTTACCGTTTGGGCCCCTTGTTGGCAACAACGGTGTCGATTCGTCTCGTTGACAGTCTTCCTCTTTTTCAATGACCTTCTGCTTTGCTGAGCATGATGTCCTTCTCCAGGTCTTGTCCCTCGTGGTAACGTGTCTAGGGTATGTGAGATGCTCGCCATCCTCACTTCCAGGGAGCTCGCTGGCTATATTTGTTCCAACACAGATTTGTTTGCTGTTCTAGCAGTCCATAATCTAGGCCAACACCCGAATTCAAGTTCATCAGCCCTTCTGTGGTCTTGTTCATTGTCTAGACTTCCCCGGCATATGAGACAACTGGACACGCCATGGCTGGGGGAAGGTGCGCCTTCATCCTCAGGGCCACATCTTTGCTGTAGAACACTTCCCAGAGGTCATTTGCAGCAGATTTTCTCAATGGAAGATGTCGTTTGATTTCTTGACACGGGCATGGCTTCCGGATGACATCCTTAACAACGTCCAGTTTTCTCTCCGTTTCTCGTGATGCTGTCCGTTGGTCTGGTTGATCTGGCTCCATGTCGAGGAGCCATCCATACTGAGGCTGTCGAGCCGTTGATCTTCATCAGGAAGGGCTCCAAGTCCTCTTCACTTTCAGCACACGGCTGCCTGTCACAGGCTGGGAAGTAGACTTCCCCCAGCCCTGAGAGTGTTTTCTCCTTCCTGCTGCCCAGCCTCTTGGAGAGCTGGCTCAGCAGACCGATTGAATAAGTGCTGTGAAAGGATACAACGCTGACACTGAGCATCTCCTGCTTTGGCTCGAATGGCTGCCTCTCGGTCTTGGGACAGTTCTGCCTGAACACAGTGAAGCGCTCGGGAGTTCCATGCTTCACCATGTTACCCATCATTTCTTACGAGCCATGTGGTCAGATGCCTTTGCACATGGCGAACCTCTTCCTGGCATTCCTTGCTTTCAGCCAAGATCTGTCTGATACCCCTCCTTCCAGGTCTGCTTCAGAAGTCTAGAAAAGTCCTAGACTAGAACATTGTTGATCGCCACTAAACAACAGCAAACTTGCTGCCCTCGGGGGTCACTTCTGACTCCTAGAGACCTTTGGAATGGAGGGTTTCCCCGTCTGTCATCTTTGTGGTAGTAGACCGCCACCTCTCTCTCCAGCGGTGCAGCGGGTGGGTTTCAAACTGTCAACCTTTCCTTTAGCAGCTGTGTGCTTAGCTGCGGGTCCACCGGCACTCCTTCCCTCCTCATTAGAAGGCACAGTGACCCTGCAGCCTTTCCCCAAATCCTTCAGGAAAAGAACAATGCTTTCATTCTCAACAAAAGCAACTTCGACGACAACTGGATTCATTGCCCCCATTTCTCAAAGCCTTTCTGTTCTCTGTCTCAAACTTTAGGGATTTTTTTTTTTCTCCCTGTGGCCTCAGCTCACTAGGATTAAAGCTGATGCGCTTAGGAGAGCACATATCTCAGTACACCAGCATTTCAGAATCCCAGTTTGGGAATGTCAGAGCTGAAAGGGAAGGGACCTTAGTCATCCACTACCCATCCTCTCATTTGACCGACCATGATTCAGAGAGGCTGGGAAACTTGCCAAGAGACACAGTCACATGGGAGCCACATCCAGGCCAGACCGCTGGTCCCCTGACTCTTCATTCTCCTTTAACAATCTCACTGCCACCAGGTCAATGCTGACTCATTAGGACCCCCTGTGGGTTTCTGAGCCTGTAACTGTTTACAAGAGTAGAAAGCCCGGTCTTTCTCCTGCAGAGCTGCTGGTGGTTTTAAACTACCGACCATGCGGATCACAGCCCAACACATAACCACTACGCTGTCAGGGTTCCCTTGAACAATAGTGACATTAAAAAACAAAACTATTATCTCTTCTGCATTTTCTCTGGATCAGGTATTGTTTAAGAAGCTTTAGGTATTACCTTTTAATGGAATCTTCACAATAACTTATTCATCCAACAAATATTTGGTATATCTTCTTTGTTCCAGACACTATTTGAAGTAAGAGAGGACAGAATGTTATGAACAAAACACGTGTTTCTTATTGTCGCAAAACTTACACTCTAGCATGTGTGTGAGCAGGTGCAGGGATGAGGAGGGTAGGTGGTGGCCGAGACGAATTGCAAGGTCAACAGTTCAAAACCACCAGTAGTAGACAGGGTTTTCTACTCCCATAAAGAGTAGCAGTCTTGGAAACTCACAGGGACTGGTCTACCCTGTCCTCACTATGAGTCATCGTGGATTTGATGGCAGTGGGAAACACATAAGAACTCTCACTCTGGAGCCTTGGTGGCTTAGTGGGCTATTCATTGAACTGTTAACCACAAAGTCAGCAGTTCGAATCCACCAGCTACACTGAGGGACAAAGATAAGGCTTTCTATTCCCACCCACTGGGCCAGTTCTACTGTGTCCTGTAGGGTCTCTATGAGGCAGAATTGACTCAGTGGCAGAGGGTTGCTGAGTTGTTTAAAACACATAAATGCCATGGTGGCACAGTAGTTAAGCTCTCAGCTGCTAACAGAAAGATGGGCAGGTCAAACCCACCAGGGACTCTGATGGAGAAAAACCTGGAGGTCTGCTCCCATAGAGGTTTCAACTATCATATCCTTTGGGGACAATTCCATTCTGTCCGGTCGAGTTGCTATGAGTCCGAATGAACTTGATGGAACACAGCAACACAAACACGGAATTAACACTGAAGACAGTCTGGACTTCACAGCAATTTATTTTAATGGTCTCTTGTTCAGCAGTTTGAGAGGGACCTCCGGCGCTATGCCACACATGAGCGGAAGATGATTCTGGATAACCATGCTCTGTATGACAAGACCAAGGTAGGTTCTTCTCCTGGGATTGGCTGTGTTGACCCTTCCCCTGAAGGCTGGCCCCTGAGCACTTTCCTGCAAGGATTTCTAAGTTCAGGTACCGTCTCCTCTGCCATGAGTGCTATGTCCCCACTGATTACAGTTGGAAAGAACCTAGCAAGCACACAGTCCCCGGCTGGCCTGGAATCCACCTCAAGGGCTCTTGGCTCATAGATGATAAACTCGTCGGAGACATCCCAGCAGTAGATGCCTACTATGTTTGTATGCCACTGGTGTTTGCAATGAGCAGCTCCCGAGAAAACCAAGGGCCAGTTACATCACAAACATCACTCTCGTGCCTCTTCATTGCAGAGGGGCAGTAACATGCTGAATGACCAGTTGGGTCATTACTGAGAATTTACTGTGAAAATAGAGAACCCCACAGTGGCCCTGAGATTGGGATAGGCATTCATTTGGTATGTTGGCTTTGCAGAAGTCAGAATCCAAGTTCACATCAACAAAATGAAAGATTGCTATAGGAATGATGAAGAAGTATATATTCAACTGTTCAGGCCACAAAGACCAATTATTCTTAGAGAAGTTGAAGACCTTAAACTAGCATCTAAAGGAAGAGAAACCAGAAGTAAGAGTACTTGCCCTCTAGGAACTAATCATCTAAATAACCTTGACCAGAAAAGAGAATTTAAGCTTATATAATTGCAGTGTCTAGGAGTAATATTGGCTTCAGGGATGGCTGTATCAAGATGCTAAGGTAGACTGGCCTCAGTGTTGGCTTCATGCCCAGCCAGACTTTTCTCATGAGTCTCATCTATTTCAGTAGAGGGGAGGAGCAGATTTCTTAATAGTCCCAGCAAGAATCCTAGCTCATGGGCCAAATCTGAGCTATCTCCCCTTTCTTGGAGCTTTGGATGGATGTTCTTCACCTGAACCTCATGAACTGAGAGTCAGGAGGGGTAGTTTCATGAAGAAACAGGAGGTGCTGCTGCCAGTGGGGAGCCATGGATGCTGGCAGGAAAGGTTGCAATGTTGGGTGTGTACATGGAGGTAGCTTCAGTAATACAATTTAGGTACCCTACCCTACCCACAAAAAACCCCCAAACAAACCCAGAATTGCACTGATCAGAGTGAAGCTTCGGTAGTGTGCCTTCTTCCTGCTAGGCGAGCCTCAAGCAATTCACTACGAGTTAGTTTTACCCAGTGGCGTCACCTGGGAAGATTCTCTGTAGTCACCGTGAATTTTTTCGTAAAAGTAGTTTCGCTGAAACCTTGTTTTTTAATGATGGCCAATTTAAGAGAACAGCGTGTGGCTGTGAAATTTTGTTTCCTGCTTGGGAAAAATGCCGCAGAAACTGTTGTGATGTTGAACACAGCTTACAAGGACAGTGCTATGGGAAACACTAAAGTGTATGAGTGGTTTTCTCGTTTCAAAAAAGGTGAAATGTCGATTGATGACTAGACGTCCATCAACTTCCCAAACAGATGAAAATGTTGACTCGTAGTGAGTTTGGAGTTTGTTCCACCAGGTCAGATTGTTAATCAAGCTTTCTATTTAGAGGTTCTGGAAAGATTGCGTAACAGCTTGAGACAAAACAGGCCTGATTTGTGACAGACGGGGGACTGGTTTTGCCACCACGACATCAATGCACCGGCTCACATGGCCATCTCAGTGCTCAGTGCTCCAGCTTTTGGCAAAAACCAGCATGCCTCTCTGTCCCACACACCTTACTCACCTGACCTCACTCCATGCGACTTCTTTTTGTGTCCACAAATGGAGAGAGACATGAAAGGACAGTGATTTGACAATGCAGAAGAGGTGGAGAAAAACACGAGGGAGGTGCTGTCGGCATCCAAACAGATGAGTTTGTGAAATGTTTCCAAGAATGGAATCGCAGATTTGACAAATGTATGAAGGAAGTGTAATGGAGAGAGCTTTGAAGGTGATGAGGTTGTTTTGTTAAAAAAACAACAACAAATGAAATACATAGCTTTGACAAAAAAATCTGTTGGGGGGGGGTTACCCTCTCATACTTACAAACCATCACATAATGAATAGGTTAATATAAGCAAATATAAGTGTGCTATACACAAGATGGAACGGGAGAAACAGGGTGCTTGATCTAAGAGGGTGAGAGGCTGAGGCTGGGGACGGAGTGGAAGACTAAGAGGAAAATCTAGTACCTACAAATGGCCTATAATTACTTCTTGCAGCAGTTCACAATTCTGACTGTACATAATAACTACCCAGTAGGCTTTTCAGCCAACTGATGCCAAGATCTCTTGCCCGGAGATTCTGATGTCTTTGGAGCAGGTATGGCCTAAGTGTTCTGTATGAAACCTCCTTCAGGTGCTTTTAATGAGCGGTTGTGGGTAAGAATTTCAGACTCATAGGAATCACCCAAGAGCCTTTTTTGCTGAATATGCCAAGATGTCATCATTTTAACTCATGTTGAGCTAACTGTGTTTTGGGGTGGGAAAATAGAAAACGGACAGAATTTCCTTCAGACGGCCCTCTGTGTTCAAAACCAGAATTATGACAAGACGGTTTTACAAGTGGTTGTTTCACTGTGTCAGCACCGACGTGGCACAAAAACATCTGACTGTTCACCTGTCTTCTTGTTATGTTTCCAGAGAGTGTTTCTGAAAGCAGACAGTGAAGAAGACATTTTTGAGCATCTGGGATTGGAGTACATTGAACCGTGGGAAAGAAATGCCTAGAAAAAAGTTGTGGAAACACTCCCCGCCTCCACCCCGTTTTATTGTTGTTAGTTTTGTTTCGCTTTTGGTGTTTTGCTTCTTGCCTCCATTTTGTGATACTATAAAATCAAGTTAATTAACTATGCTTCATAGCATGGCAAAATCTTCCTTAGGAAAGCTCAGAATACTTTTAAGTCCCATTGAAAGCAGGTTGCTACTTGAAATCAATTGCTTGGGACCCATAACAGGGCAACATGAAATGCAGGGTAGGGGCACCGATAGAGGCGTAACTGTATTAATTCTTACTGAGGGGCATGACGGGAGGTGGTAGGGTGGGGGGTGGGGAGAAACGAGGAACTAACAACAAGAAAGAGAAAAAAGAAAATATTCTGAAACTGATTGTGGTGATTATTGGACACCTCTTCTTAATATGGCTGAACTATGATTTTATCTGTGAACGACATGCCAATAAAACTATTCTTTTAAAAAGGAGAGTTTGTGATATCTGACAGGGGTCAAGAACGGACAGTCCCTGGGCCAAGGCCAGCCCATGGATTTTTTTGGTGGGGGGAAGGGGGGGCACTGCATGATGTTTTAGGACATTTTTGGATTTGTAGTTGTCGGGAACGGAAGAAAAGCCCTAGTGGCACCGTGGTTAAACGCTCGACTGTTAACTCTGGTGCGAACCCACCAGCTGCTCCATGGAAGAAAGGGGTGGCTAACTGCTTCTGTACGGATGACAGCCTTGGAAACTCTGGGCAGTTCTACAGGCTCACTGTGAGTGTTGACTCCCTGTCAGTGATATCTTTTGAACTTGTCCTTCCAAAAGATGTGTCGGAATCCTGTGCATGTAATCTTTTGATATGCTCAAGTAAGTCATACCAAAGTAGGCTGGGTTCTAAATGGAATCACTTCTGAGATGTAAAAAGAGCAAAGGAGACACAGACACACTCACTTCTAAGGGGGGTGGGGTGGGCAGGAAGAATTGCCTACAAGCCAAAGAACCAAGAAATGCCCAGAACTACCTACAAGGAAGAAATCAGTGTGGCCAAGACCCCGAATTGGACTTTGAGCCTGCGGAACTGTGAGAAAATAAAAGTCTATTCTTTAAAGACACCCACCTACTGTGGTTCTGCTATAGCAGCAGTAGGAGCCCAAGAAAATGGTCAACACTTACAACTTGATAGATGGGCCATTTTAAAGAAATAGAAGTCGTGGTTCTTCTTGGAATGCAAAAGGCACAGCAACAACCAGCCCAGAGTCACAGTTGGGTCTGCTGGCTCTAGTAGGGCAATGCTGCCCTTTGGAGGTGGGGCATATGTGCTCCAATTGAAGCCCAGCGCCCCAGTTACTGGTGGCCTTACCTGCTTTCCTAGGGGCACTGTCTTGCCAGTCCCTTGAGCTATGTTTGTTTGTGAGCCCCAAAGCAGTGTATAGAGCCCAGGATTGGAGCCGGGTGCTGGGGCACCATCACCACCCCCCTGTGCAGTAGCATCAAGTCACATACCTTGTCCTGACTCATTTCTCACCTGGAGAGTCAGAGGTCAACCTCAGAGATCAAAAGCCCCTTTTCAGCGATGGTGCAGAAGTTACTTTTCCTGTTGATCGGTGATATTCCCAATGTATCCCTCAGGGATGACAGACGTGTGACAGAAATGCTGCCACTCCCCTTACCCATGAGACACAATCTATCAAACCTGAACACTTGCTACACAAGTGACAGAAAGGCCCTTCCAGGTCACCCCGCACCTATCCTGGCTCCAAAAGACAGGTCAGGATGAAAATAGTATCATCCCCTGGACAGGCTTCGGGTATAAGCACCTATGTCATGCCGTCAATGGATGACTTAGGAAAACGACATCAGGAGGGGGATGGGCAGCAACCACTCCCACTGAGAGAGGCCTCATGGTCTAACACTCACGTGCCTTGACCCCCCCACCCCCTGAATTGCTATTCTAATCCCTCTCCTGCATCCCCATGCTTCCCAAGTATGACAGTCAAGGTGACTTCAGATGGCAGGTCGATGAATATGTGATCATGATCTAACAATAACTATTTACTAAGTGCCTACTATGTAACAGTCATTCTCCATAAGGCAGTGGGCGTACCAGGCAAACATGTCGGCTTGCGTGGTTATAAGTATGAAGCTTATGGTCTGGAAAGGAGGCCTGTTTCCATTGAGCAGAAGGGCCTGCAGATGGGCTTCCCTCATGAAGCATGCTGCTGGGAAAGCCCTCCCTGTGGCCCAGTTTCACTCTCACACCTACAGGAGCCCCAGGTCTCGTTGAGCACATCTATTTAAATCAGAGAAGTAAATGGCTATGAGACCATCCTGTAAGTAGTAGCCAGTGGTATGAGGGGATGTGGCAGGAATTAGGAGGACAGACAGAGGAACCTAGGTGACTGGGGGTTGGGAAGGGTGCTGGTGGGCACCCCGAGGTCTTCCTGCCTGCATCCCCCCCACTCCCCGATCCATGTTCCCCGCCACACAAAAGCCTAGCAGTCCATTCAGTTGCTGTTTCCCAATCAGAAACTCTCAAAGGTTCGAATGAATCCCTTGAGCAACATTCCTTATTTGAAAAGGCTTCTTAAGAATTCCAAAAATGCCCTTGGGAAGGATATGGAAGGTGCCATGGGCTGCCAGAACACTCACTGCTATGGAGACCCCAACTCATCGCGACCCTCTCGGACAGGACAGAACGGCCACTGTGGGTCCCTGGGACTGTCTCTCTTCACAGCAACTGAAAGCCTCGTCTTTCTCCCACACTGCAGTTGGTGGGTCCGAGCTGTTGACCTTGCAGTTGCACAACTCACTACCCCACCAGGGCTCCTCCGTACTGCCAACAGAACAAGCAAACCTGTCTGAGAGGAAGCGCAGCCAGCAGGCTCCTTAGAAGCAAGCGAGGGTGGTGGGGTCTCATCTCACTGCTTTGGACGGGTTGCCCGGAGAAACCCGTTTCTGGAGAAGGGCATCACGCTTGGTGAGGCCGAGGGTCGGCGAGAAAAGAGTAAGATGGGCAACAGGAAGGCTCGTGGCTGCAGCACGTCCTCCAGAAGAACAATTGTGAGGATGGTGCGGGGCTGGGCAGTGCTCCCTCTCCTGTCCGTAGGGTGCTGTGAGTCTGCAGCGCCCAACGACAACACTAATCTGTACAAGACCGGCTCTAAAGGCCTACTGCTTCCCCACTGGACAGTTCAAATGGCGGACCTCTCAGCTGGCAGCCAAGTCTTGAACGTGAGAGCAGCCTCCTTCGAGTGCCTTAGCACAAGGGCCTGAGCAAAGCCGTGGCCTCTTGAGGGCATCGGAACAGAATTGCTCCGCAGGGTTTCTGAGGCTGTCAACGTCTCCATCACCTTTTGAGCTGACCTCTCCACCTTGAACTTAACTGGCCCCAGAAAATCCCTTGGAAACCAGTTTGGCCAAATCTAAGGTATTTTCCAATATTGCCTCAGGAGATCCCTATCAGAATATTAGCAAAGAGTGAGTGCCCAATAAATGCCTTCTCCAAATCCCTCCAAGAATGCTAAGAAAATTTCCCCTCGTGTTTTTTCGGTGTGTGTGTGTGTGTGTGTGTGTGTGTGTGTGTGTGTATGTATGTGTGTGTGTGTATGTATGTTCTCCTTTTTTGCAGCAAGTAGGTCAGAATAATAAAGCTGGTCTTCAACTCTCTCTGCCTCCCTCCTGCTAGGAAAATATTAAAACATCTGGGTGTGGGCTGAAGACTCTTTCTGGTAAAACATTCTCCGCTCCATGCTCTAGTGATATGGAGGATACAAGGAAGTATAGAGCATGTTTGAAATCCAAGAATAGAACCAGGGTGTTGCCCTCCATTCAGCTCCCGAAATGTAACCTCTTCTTCAAAGAATGGCCTGTCCTCGCCTTTGTGTTTGCACTGTGGCGGGCAGCCAGGTGGAAAGGGAGGCTTTGTTTTGCAAGGTCTGATCAAAATCGATGTTTGAATGTTTGAAGTGGGTGAATATGACCTCAGAGAAAAGCCCGGGGAACCCCCAGGTGACCCATGAAGAGAGGAGACCCACTGGGGTTGGGTGTCTGGTCCTTCTGACTGTTGGGCTCAGCATTTTCCTCTTTCCTCTGTCAGCCCAGCCTGGAAAGTGCCAATACCAGGAATCTTGCTGGCATGAGCTTGGTTTCCACACCAGAGTCCATGCGATAACGGACAGCTTTTCCGTAGGTCTATAGAATGGCCCTTTGACCTTTCACTTTATTCCAAAATAAGTTCATATTCCAATATAATATTCCAATTTATTCCAATATCATATTCATTATAACAGAGGGAAAAATAACAGAAATAAGGAATCTTTCTACTTTAGTAAATGCAGTTTAAAATAAGGATTCTAGACAACAAGATTATGAGTAGAATTAAAACAGACCACTTCAAATGCTAGTAATACCTTCCTTTATCGCTAAAAGGCTTAGTCACGTGCATTATTTCAGTCAATGCACGTGACTGACAATATTCAGACTGACAATAGCCCTGTGGGCAAGGAAGATGGACCTGCTGTCTCCAACTTGTCTAAACAGAACTGAGGCTCAAGGTCAACAAGCCGCCCAAGGGTGCACATGAAAACTGCTAAAGGCGAGGACACAGCTCAGTCAATCCAAGGCCCTCCCCACCAAGCAAGAGAAGTGCAAACCCCAGCATCCCTGGGGACACCTGCTTAAAATTAGCCGAATGTGATTAGGGGACCAGGCAGAGAAGGGACAGAACACAAAAGTGAAAGTCACAAGAAGCTTTGGAAAGTGTTTGAGTTGACAGAACCTCTTAGTGGCTCTTCTGGGAGGGGGGGGTGCTTTCCTGAGGAATCGCCATCCTTTGAGAGAACCGAAGGATGCTCTGGGGGCATCATCGTTAAGCCCTGGGCTACGAACGGAAAGGCCAGCAGTTTGAGTCCACCAGGCATCCATGGAATGAAAGACGGGGGAGCTGCTCTTGTTAAAGTGACAGCCTACGAAACACTGTGGCCCATTCTATGGTCATGTGTGGGTGACCACTGAGGACCCTTGATAGTATGGGGCTGATATCAGATGGAATTAGCATGTGAGGATGGCATGTTTCCACAAGATCTCCAGGGTCGAACATGGATCTGCTAAATGGACCAAGGGTTTCCTTGGACACAACCTGTTCCACCTAGACGCCTCCCTTGCTCCAGAACAATGGTCCTAGGTGAGGATGAGACTGCCTGCAGCCCCCTCGGTGGGTGTGAGTGTGAAGGCCAGTCTCAAAATCCTTTGGGGCCCCTAGGCTTTCCTCCAGTGGCAAGCACATACCTTTGTTCATCAACTGGAAACACTCGCCATCTTTCTTCCTGCTGACCACTTTTTCCCTGTGGTCATCCGGGGATTTGGTCTTTCTCTCCATACCCACAGAATGGACACCGCCGCCTTTCTAACAATCCTTGCTTTCTCGCCACACCCTGAACCCTCCACACCTGGGCACATCCCTGTGAGCAGGCACAGAGCCCCCTGCAGAACTCCCTTCCTGAACCATCCTCTGATCAAAGACCCAAGGGCGGGGGGCATGAGAGAAGTGTCTCTGCCCAGAAGCAGGGGTGGAGGGTTAGCTCTCTGACTCACATCCCCAGACAAGTCACTGGGAAAACCAGCTGAGTGCTGAGGGCTAAAAGAGGCCACCAACCAATAAAAAAAGAAAGAAAATGAGAAAGCAATTGGCGAACTGGGAGAAGTAGCTGAGATACCAAAAACCCAGAGGATTGGTCTATCTTGGATGAAAGAAATAAAACAAGGCCAACTGGATAGGCTTTTCCCAGTCTGCTCCGTGAGTGCAACACTGCCCCTCGTGGTCGACGTTTTAATTGCAGCCAGTCGCCTCGGAGCGTCCTCCCTAAGTTTACAGCACGGTAGGTACAGTGTGAGCAGGAGGGCTCTTGGTAACTCAGGGGATTGCTTCTTTTCTTAAGGGAAATGAAGCGTCTCTCTAACAACTAGCCTGAGCTGTTAAAGACCTTTTTTTTTTTTTTTAAAGAAAGGAGATGTAAAAGAATATGAGAAGGTAAGACACTGGAAACAAGTCCTTTCCCCAAATCACAACAAAAGACAAATTCCTGTGGATCAGGAATAAGAACAAAAGGCCCCCTTTGGCATGTATAAGATCCTCACCTGGTGCTTCCCTGCATGTGAAACAAAATATCTAAGTGTAGAGAGGAATTTTATCAGCTATTCCCTAAGGAGGGGAATCAGTCTCAATGCTTTCCCGGTCTGTAAATGAGACCTAAATTGATTTAGAAGGAGCGTGGCATCCCTCCTCATCCAAAATACAAATCCCCAGGTTTTCTGCTCCGTTCCAGGTCTCCGTCTCCAGTGGGCAGCATCACTCTAGGCTCAGTCTGGGTATCAGCCACCACAGCCCTCTCCTGCGCTCCGCTGCCATAGGAGAACGACGGCGGTAAGGGTCCTCCGCGGGCTCCTCGCTTCCTGTCACCGTCATCACATATATGTGGCCTTCTTCTGTACCCATGATAGTGTCGCGTGTGGGTGAGCGCTGAGGATTCTTAAAGGGGAAAAATGTTGTTAGTTTATTTTTTTAAATACATCAGATGCTTCCATTTTCACCCAAGATTAAAGAACAGCAACCAGATTTACCCCCCTACTACCTAAAACAATCAAAGATGGTTTCAGACAAAATATAAAACTGTTTTTTTTAAGATGCTGGACTTAAGGCAAAAACAAGTGACCTTTGAGAGACAAAAAATTAACCGAAGTGAGACCCACAACTGTCTGAGCTTACTACCTTGGGAGAGTTTTAGGGTAGCTACACATGTCAAGGTCAGGTCAACTTGATAAAAGAATGAAGGGGTGGAGTTTAGCCTGATGATGCCTCCTTGTGGGCGTGGCCTAATCATGAGGGTTGTGGGAACTTCCTCTCTTTCTCCTGGGAGGTGGACCACACGCTCTCTCTACTTCACTTTCCTGCTGTTGAGACACTCGGAGAGCTGGGGGAGCCACGTGGAGACCTGCGCCAGTGCTGAGATGCTTCTACCGCCACAGGATCCACAAGACTTTTCACCCACCAGCCTGTCTTCCTGCATTTGGCATCATTGCATGTGCTGTGTGGGTCTGAAGAGGAATTTATAGACTAGTATCAGACACATGGGCTAATAGCAGAGTTATGGACTTAATCTGAACTGGGATGGGATGTTTTCTCAATATACAATTGCTCTTTGATGTAAAACTCTCCCTGACAGACATATGAGTGTCTCTGGATTTGTTTCTCCTGTCAATCCTGTCTAACACAGGATCAGTATATAGATGGGGAATCTAAGCAGAACCAGTAGATTCCCTGACTTGAGATAACGCTGAGAGTGTAACACCGAAAGGTCCAGTTGACAGGGTAACAAACTAAAAGGGAAATAGCTGGACATAGCGAGAACCCCAAAGATGAACATACATGTAAAGAGACCACCTGAGATGGAGCTAGTCATCTGGTAAGGAATATTTTTAATTTGGTAATAATCTTTGCTATGAAATCTACTTTGTCTGATCTAAAACTAGCTACCCACTTTTATTTTGCTTATTGCTAGCATGGTATCTCTTTTTCTACTCTTACTTTTAGCCTACTTATGTCTTTATGTTTAAAGTGAATTTTGGGCAGACAGCTTTGAAATCCACTCTGGCAATCTCTGCCTCTTCACTGGGGACCCTGTGTCATCTGCATTGAATGTGATTACTGATGGTTGTTGTCATTGTCGTTGGTTGCTGTTGAGGCAATTCTGACTCGTGGCGACACAGTAGAACACTATGTGTGCTGCGTAGAACTGGGCAGGGTTTTCAAGCGTGTGAAGCTTTCAAAGTAGAACACTAGACCTGTATTCTGAGGCCTCCTTGGGTGTGTTTGAACTAGCGACTTTCCAGCTAGTAATTAAGCCCTCAGCCATTTGCATTCTCCAGGGGCACCTCATCAGTGATATTGTGGAGTTTAAATCTATCATCTTGTCATTTATTTTCTATTTATTCCATCTGATATTATTACTTTTAAAGTATTTTGTTGATTTATTTTGCTGTCCCTTGTGCCTTGGCTTGTCTTACACTTTTGTGAGGTTTTAGAAGGATTTAACTAAATACCATGGAAGAAATCCATTGGAATTACACTTCCAATATAGATCAATTTAGAGTTGGTTGACATCTTCATGCTTTTGAGCCTTCTATCCAGTAGCTTAGTGTATACTCGCCATTATTTCTCTTATATACGGTAACTTGTTACAATTCTTGTTAATTCTAATAATTTATCTTTAGGTCACTTGGCTTTATTTATTTCATAGACATCAGATCATCTGCATAGAACAACAGCTTTGTTTCTTCCTTGCCAGTCTTCCACTTTCTATTTATTTTTGTAGTCTATTGCATAAACTAAATGCTTGAGTACAATATTGAATAGAAGTGTTAGGAATGGACATCCTTGTTTTGTTTCTTGTCTTAAAAATAATGTTTTCGACATTTTGGGGGGATGATGTTTGCTACATTTAAAAAATATTCTTTCTCAAGGTAAGAATATTCTCATTCTAGTCTTCATTTACTAAATGTTCTTATGAAATAATGACTGTCAAAGACCCAAACGATCACTCTCAGGAAGAAATGGCTTGAAATTACTTGATCAAGAATTCAAAGAATGGTATTTAGACTCTTTAACACATTAAGAGAACAAATTTCGGAATGAAAATAGGAGACCCTAGATCTCAATTTGACAATCGACGGTAATGACAATAGAAGATAATTACAAAATAAAAAGAGGAAGTAGTGTGGTTACAGACCTTCCAAACAGAAGGAAAACCCAGCAGATGTCAAGAACCTGGGTGAAGGGGAGGGCAGTCTACAATTAGAAGGAGGTTGGCAAAGAATGATGGAGGTAAGGAAGGGTACTGAGAGGAGAGCGAGGGTTAAAGGCAAAAGAGGTAAATATTGTATATGCACAATCCTGCAATAGCAGTGATATGCAAATAGATGCAGTGATAGACACACAGTCTGAGCAGGTGTGGGAGGAAAGCAGGTGTGTGTGTGTGTGTGTGTGTGTGTGTGTGTCCTTGTGGCAGAGTGGGTTACACATTGCACTAACCACAAGGCCAAGAGTTTGAGCTCACCCTCCCCTCTGAAGAAGAAAGGTAAGTTTTGCTACTCATGCAGTTTTGCAGTGTTGGGAACCCACCAGGGCAGTTCTACTCTGTTCCTATAGGGTCGTCATGAGTCAGAATCAACTTGATGGCTGTGAGTTTAATGGACAAGTTGCAGAGATGTAGGAGAAAAAAATTCAAAATCTCGAAGGAGTTGAGCCTTGCTGGCTGACTAGTGATTGGTGGAACTCCCAAGAATCTGGTCCTTGGTCCTATTTAAGGGTCTGCCACTGAGTTCTCCATGGTGGTTCAATCTCAGACAAACAATGGTGCTCTGTAAGAGGGGTAAAAAATACTATTGATGTGTGCACCCATCCCACCCATTGCCATCAAGTGGGCTCCAACTTGGAGGGACCCTGTATAAAGTTTCCAGGCTGTAAATGGGAACAGCCTCATCTTTCTTCCGCAGAGCGGCTGGTGTTTTGAACCCCTGATTTCATTATAGGTGTACAGAGCTCACCCAACAGTACCTTCAGGGCTCCTTGATTTGTGAAAACCTTAGAATAACTGATCATTTAGAATAACTCGTCCTTTGGTCTCAGCACCCCACTTGACTGATCACTCCAGAACCAGCCTCTCGGAGACCAGGGGAACAGAACAGGGGGGACCCTGGCCCTCCTCACTCCCCATTCCCTCCTTGCCAGCCCTTTTGCCATGGCCTGGATCTTGGGGAGTGGTGCGGACAGTTTGAAGGACCGGGAGCAAAAGTGTGTGTCTGGGTCTGGTTACTGTCCTCCCCAGAGTGACTGTTCTAGGGTGGCCTCGGGATAGGCAGGGGCCTCACCATCTCTGCATCCCAGTAATGGTGACCCCTGCATTCGCGGCTTCAGAGAGAGTGGCGCCACTGTGTGATGCTCAGGCATCTCCCCATCCCAAAGGCGGCCTGATGGGAGCAGGCGGGGGTCTTTGCTCTGCCCTCCCGCAGGGAAAGGAGCCATGCTAAGATGCCAACCTCAGGGACTTGAGTTGGGTTCTTTTGATCCTGAGAGCTGTTCTGAGAGCAGAGGACAGCATGGGGCATTGTCAATAACCAATTCTGAGTCTCGGGGAAAAATTAAAAGAATAACTCAAGGACAAAGTTCAGGAGGGTTAGGAAAGGAGGAGGGAGGGCAATGGGAGGCCTTGGGAGCAAGTAGGTGTTACAGGGAGGCTGAGGTCAATCAAGAAGATGGAATAAAGCAGTGAGGCATCGTTGACTATAAAACCAATGACCTGCTCTCTAAACCTTCACCCAAATCACAATTAAAACAATTGTTTAAGGCTACTGAATTTTTTTTTAACTCTCGTTTATTGAGATGGCCATGTGATTTTCTCTTTTGTCAGTGAAATATATTACATCCATTGATTTTCTAATATCAAGTCAACTTTGCATTCCGATCCGGTCCATTAAAAATCCATGGAGAAATGCCTTTGTGCTCAACTTCACTTGGTAATCTCTTTCCACGTGTGTTCACAGAGTACTCTGCCTATAAATACATCTTTCAAGTGCTCACCGTGTTTACTGTGTACGTGATATTAAGAGATTGTAGCCAAGAGCCTTACCTCAGATATCTTGGGATGGTCACAGATGTCTGAAATCTCGCATGGTCTCTCATGTTCCTAAAGTGGTACCCAAAGAAAGAAGAAGAGATGGAGAGCCATCACATTTGACCACAGCTTTAATTAAAGTCCGTGGTTTTAAACCTGGATGCATATTAGAATTGTCAGGAAGCTTTAAGAGCAAGACAAACATCAGAACTCCCCTTTCACCTCCCTGAAGACGAAACCCAAAACCAATGTGGGTGACTCTGAAAATAATGCAACACTGGAAGTGGAGAGGAGTAGTCGGAGTAGAGAGGCATCGGTTTTGGTCATAAGGGGATAATTGGGCTCTATCCTAATTCTGTATAGGTTTCAAATGATCCATAATTAAAAGGAGCCCTGGTGGTGCTGCCGAGTGAGTGTTAAACTGCTAACCTCGGGGTCAGTGGTTCAAACCCTCCACTGCTCCTCAGAAGAAAGGCCAGGCTATCTGCTCCAGTAAAGATGGGCAGCTGGGGAAGCTCTGTGCAGGCTCGCGATGAATCAGCGTGGACTCGATGGAGAGATCAGGGCAATGGTATCTACCATACGGTTGATGAAAGACCAAGGTCGAACATCTATCATTACGATTCTGATCTCATCTGTTCTCAAAACTCACTTCCATCGAGCCACTCATAGTGACCCACTGTGGGTTTCTGGGACAGTTGCTGTTTACAGGAGTAGAAAGCCGAGTCTTTCTCCTGAGGAGCTGCTGGTGGTTTTGAACTGCCAACCATGCGGATCGCAGCCCAGCGTGTTATCATGACACCACCATCATCGGTTCTAGCGGTTGCTATTTTTTCAGATTCCCAGATGATTTTATAATGCACTGGAGTTCAGAAACGCTTCCTTAAATAACACCAGTAACCACTTCTTGGTGTTTTTAAAGTTTATTGACAGTATCTTTACATTCATAATCCCATTCCTTCTTTACAACTTTACCTGCCTTGTAAAATCTTCTTCTTCTCACTGTCGAGTCAATACCAACTCATAGCAACCCCAACAGGACAAGGTGGAACCGCCCCTGTGAGTTTCCAAGGCTGTGACTCCGTGAGGGAGTCGGAACCCTCGTCGTTCTGCCGCCCTTGTGAACTAGAGGGGAAGCTTTAAGACTTCTGTCTTTGAAGTCAAACGAACAGACTCAGAAAAGGTTAAGTTACTCATCCAGGATCTTATGTGTCATGAGATGTCAGGGCTGGGATTGGATCCTGTTTTCCCTCTTCCCGCTCATGCTGTGTGAGTGTGGGGACAATCATGAATGCTCATGGAGAACAGAATTAGGACACAGAGTCCACAAGGCACATTTGTATCATAACCGCACAGCCCGGTTGAACATTTCTCTGTGTGGCCTTCGAATGCTGGGCATGATGGTCAGAGCATCCTGACATTTGGAGGAGAGGTAGATTCTCCTGTGATTTGTGTGCGTGCAGACGTGGGGAGGAAAGGTCAGAAATCAATCAAATCAGATACTTGGGGACCTATCCTTACCATCAACACCGGGGCACCTTTTATTTCCTATCTTTCCTAAGATGGGTCTCCATCCTTTCTTTGTAACGTTTGTGCCCTTCTATTTCTCAGCATGGTTCAGGAGTTTGCTGTTTGGACCTGAGCTTGCCTTGGCGATAAACATCCTTGTCTCCTGCTATTCTTTGCCACTATTCTTGTTGCCACTTCTCAAGTGACCTGAGGGTTGTGCTGTCGTATCATCTCTGCCTCGTGCAAAACATCTTGAGTCTAAGAAGGAAAACAAGACACAAAATCTTCCACATCTTGTTCTCAGGAAACAGATGGGGGCTGTGGCTGTTACATAATCTGGTGTCAAAGTGGGTCTTGAGAGGATTAAGAATGAAGGGGTGGAGTCTAGTCTGTCAATTGGATCACAGCCAATGAGGCTTCTGTGGGCATGGCCTTTTCCTGAGAATTCTGGGAATTCCTGGTTGCCTTCTTGGAGGCGGGAGACACTCTCTCTCTACTCGCTCCCTTGGAGATGCTTTACTGACAAGACACGTGGTGCTACACCCTGGGAGCTGGAGAAGCCACATGGACCTACCCTGATCAACCACACCTCTGGAGCCAGAGAAGCCACATACGTAGAGACCACTGCCAGCACTGAGATGCTTACAGCACCACTGGGTTTAGAAGACTTCCAACCCACTGGCTTGTGACCTCCTGCATTCAGCGTCATTGCATGTGTTTCATGAGTGTGAAGAGGCCCTTATAGATTGGTATCGGACATATGGGCTAATATCGGACTTATGGACTTGATCTGGACCAGGCTGGGATGTTTTCTCAATATTCAATTGCTATTGTATATAAACCTCTTTCTTACACACATACGAGTCTCCCTGGATTTGTTTCTCTAGTCTCCCAGACTAACACACAGGGGCCCTGAATTCTGACACTGTGAGTCCAGAAAGAAGCCAGTTCACGGAGGCACTGGTTGCTGTTAAAACAATGGGCAATAAAGAGGCTGGCGGTTACCTCAATGGGATCATTGCTGCTTCTTCTTCGGTGAATCAAGATCAACAACAAAGCCACTGCCACGGCTGTGGCCAGCAGGGATGGAATGCCTGCGGCTAATCCAATAGACGGCCCACAGTCCTTGACACAGAGAGAAAAACACAGTCAGGGATGCCCAGACGCACCAAGAATAAAGGCAAATTGTGACTGATTGAAAGTGAAGCCAAACAAAACCCCACGGGGACCCTAAGCCTCAAAGGCACAGTGGACTGTACTGTGAGGAAAATGTTTGCAGCGTATATGACAGAAGATTTATTTCACAGTTTAAATCTACGTCATTGGATTGTAATCCAATAAGAAAACGGACATTGAATACGACAGCCCTAGGATGGGAAGCTGCTAAGCCTCCTAGCTAAGATACAATTCAAACAACGTTGCATACCATTTCATCTACCAGCTTGGCCTATACCCAACCTGAACAGAGGGGTATAGCACCCCACACAGTTTTGGTGTGAATTCCTTGGATTTATGTCCACAAACATTAACCAATAGTTTTCAGGTTCCAGCTTTGCCTTGCTCTGAGTGGAAATAGCCATCCTTGTAATCTAAGTATTGCCTCCTCCCTGGGGGATGGGCAGCAGAGAAGAGGGCGGAGGGAAACATTGGACAGGGTAACTTATGACAAAACTATAATAATTTATGAACTATGAAGGGTTCATGAGGGAGGGGGGGAGGGAGGGGGAAAATGAGCAACTGATATTAGGGGCTAGAGTGGGAGGCAAATGTTTTGAGAATGATGAGGGCAACAAATGTGCATATGTGCTTGACACAATGGATGTATGTATGGATTGTGATGAGAATTGTACGAGCCCCCAATAAACTAATTTTTTAAAGGCCATTTTAGCCATTTTTAAAAGTATAATTCAGTAGCACTAACTATATTCCCAATGATTGTACAATCATCACCACTGTCTTTCATCACCCCAAACTCAATACCCCTTATTCAAGAACTCTCCATTTCATCCTCCCTCCAGCCCCTGGTACCCTTGAATAAACATTTGTCTCTATGTATTTGCCTATAGACATTCCATATAAGTAGAATCGTGTAACACGTGTATTTTCCCTTTTGTGTCTGATGTATTTCGCTGTTTCCATGGTTCATCAATTTCCCAGCAGGCATAAGAACGTCATTTCTTTATATGCCATAGTACGGCAAGACTACATTTTGGTTATCCATTCATCTGTTGAAGGACATTTGGGTTGTTTCCACCCTTTGCCTATTGTAATACTGCTATGAGTATTGGTGTGGATGTATCTGTGTGAATTCCTGACTTCAATTCTTTGGCGTCTATTTACACCTAGGGATGGAAATCCGGGTCATATGGTAGTCATATGGTAATCCTATGTTGAACTTTATGAAGACATTCTAAACTCTTCTCGATTTTTTAGGTGAGTTGTTGAAATACCAAATTTAACCTCAGAACAAAAACACGATAAGGGTTACCAAACCATCGTTTGATAATTTAAGGAATATACTTACTGCTTCTTTCCCTCTGGTGACAACTGGAGAGGAAGTCTGTAGATAAAAAATATTCATCTTAAGAAATCAAAATCTAGAGAATACAGGTTATATAGACAGTCTGTCCAAGATTCAGCTACACAGGCTCAAATTTATTCCTTTGCTGAGTTGTTTAATTTTTTTTTAATTGCCAAGGCCTTAAGTTATTGTTCCCTAAGTAAGAATTGGAATGAAATTTGAATATAAGGATCGAGAACTTAGAAATTCAAGCAGTATCTCAGTACCCAACTGTGAATTTAACATAGCACAGTGGCAAACCAAAAAAGGATTTCACTTGCCTCTAGCCCCCACCCTCCCAGCACACTGCGAGCCTACTGGTCCCCATTGCTCAGAAGGGAAAGAAATGTTACTACTGGAGGAACCAAGGCTCTTGGAAGCACAGCCTTCTTTGTTGCAGGTATGCAATGAAGCAAAGGATTCATCTGCGGGGGCATCTGATGGTGCAAAGTATTGGGCTTCTGGTGGCAATTCCACATTCAACATGCATTGCCTGATGCTGACTCACATTTCCACTCAAGTAGCCTCAATGGACTTCGTTCATTTATGAGGTTGTTGAGGTGAGAGTCTGGCCTGGAGCCATAACTCTCAAAGGAATAAGGTTCTATGTTAGCAACTAGTTCAGGAAAATCACATTCCATGGCAGAATTTGGGGTTAACATAGAAGGCCTTGGGCCCATTCTGTTTATTCTCTTTGGATAACCATAGAAGTAATTGATTAGAAAAAAATTGAGTCCAACCCACTGAATCGTTGGACAAGGAAATTGTCTCGCTCAACCGTAACAATACTACTGGTCAGAAAAAAGCCCTGGATGTTGTGTCATCTTTACATACAGGAGAGCAAAAGATGAAGGTCAAGTATAAATGGAAAAACAACACCGCTACCACTGAAAATCTATCTTCCCTTGTTATTGAACGTCAGAGCCATAAAATGTTCCTGCTTGTTGATCTGATAATGCCCCTTCTTGACCATAGACTAGGAGCCCTGGTGGGGAAGTGGGTTGGGAGTTGGGTTCTAACCACAAGGTCAGCAATTCAAACCACCAGCCGCTCTCGGGGAGATAGGGGAGGCCTGATGCCATAAAGACTGACAGCCTTGGAATCCCACAGGAGCAGTTCTACTCTGTCCTACAGCAACACTGAGTCCAAATTGATTTGATGGCAATAGGTGAGACTATATACTAAAATAATCTGAAGTACAGACAAAAGTTTATGTGTAATGATGTTTATCACAAAATTATTTCTAATTGCAATAAATCACCCGAAGGTATACTCCACTTGGAGATAATATTGAATGATCATCATCTATTGTATTGATAAAGACAAAGATTAAAAAATACAATGAAAATGATATGTACAGTAAAAAACACAATTGTACAAAGAACAAAAATTTTAAGTTAAAATTTATGTAAGGTCAAAAAAGTTTTGAATAGGCAACACCAAAATGTTTTCTCCTGATAGAAATGTATGTGCTTTTTCTTCTATTTCCTTCATTTTCTGTGTGTACTTTTTATAATTAAAAAAATTAATCAGCACCTCACTATTGAGAAATGATTTTGAAGAACTGCATACTTTACCATTGTATTGTGTAGTTTATGGAATGGCATTCTGGAAGTCCAAGGGAAATTCTGAACTGGCCTTCCCTGAGTAGCCCCAGTATGTTGGGGCTGACATACGTACCGTGTTAGCCGGCAGTGTGAAGTTGAGAGAAAACTGCTGGAAGAGAGGAACACATTAAAACTCCCAGGAATGGTTAGCAATTTGGGATCGCTCTCTAAACATCACTGACTCCGGCGGGCTCTTAGAGTTCACGCTGATCTTTTTTTTTTTTAATCATTTTATTGGGGGCTCATACAACTTTTATCACAATCCATACACACATCAATTGTGTAAGGCACATTTGTGCATTCATTGCCCTCATCATTCTCAAAACATTTGCTCTCCACTTAAGCCCCTGGCATCGGATCCTCATTTTCCCCCTCCCTCCCTGCTCCACCCCACTCTGAACCCTTGATAATAAATTATTATTTTTGTCACATCTTACACTGTCTGACATCTCCCTTCACCCACTTTTCTGTTGTCCATCCCCCATGGAGGAGGTTATTTGTAGATCCCTGTAATCTGTTCCCCCTTTCCACCCCACTCTTCCTCCACCCTCCTGGTATCACCATTCTTACCACTGGTCCTGAAGGGATCATCTGTCCTGGATTCCCTGTGTTTCTAGTTCCTATCTGTACCAGTGTACATCTTCTGGTCTAGCCAGATTTGTAAGGTAGAAATGGGATCATGATACTAAGGGGGTGGGGGGGAGCATTTAAGAACTAGAGGAAAGTTGTATGTTTCGTCGTTGCTACACTGCACCCTGACTGGCTCATCTCCTCCCCACAACCCTTCTGTAAGGGGATGTCTAGTTGCCTACAGATGGGCTTTGGGTCCCCACTCTATACTCCCTCTCATTCACTATGATAAGATTTTTTTGTTCTTTGATGTCTGATACCTTATCCCTTCGACACCTCACACAGGCTGGTGTGCTTTTTCTATGTGGGCTTTGTTGTGTCTCAGCTAGATGGCCGCTTGTTTACCTTCAAGCCTTTCAGACCCTAGATGCTATATCTTTTGATAGCTGGTCTCCATCAGCCTTTCTCACCACATTTGCTTATGCATCCGCTTTGTCTTCAGCGATCGTGTTGGGAAGGTGAGCATCATGGAATGCCAGTTTAATAAAACAGAGTATTCTTGCATTGAGGGAGTACTTGAGTGGAGGCCCAATGTCCTTCTGCTACCTTAATACTAAACCTATAAATATATGCACATAGATCTATTTCCCCATCCTCATATATAAATAGATTTACATATGTACATGCCTGTATTTGGACCTCTATAAATGCCCTTTGCCTCCTAGTTCTTTCCTATATTTTCTTTTACTTTCCTCTTGTCCCACTATCATGTTCGGCCTTCATTTGCTTCATTCAGGTTTCAGTAATTCCTCTCAGCTACATTGCCCTTGATTAAGCCCCACCAGACATCCTGCGCCCTCCTCACCATTGATTTTAGATCACTTATTGTTCCCTTGTCCTTAGGTTGGTTAACTCTCTCTTTCTTAACAGGGTGCCCTCACTTATTGAAGAAGAAAACAAGACTGAAGAATCTGACTGAGCTGCCCAGGTCACATGACTAGTTTGCTGTCACCAGAACCCAGTCTTCTGGTGACAAGCCTCTTTTCACCAGCCCCGAATCAGCCACACAACATCCACAAACAGACAGTTCCTGCGGTCTGGACAGAGCCCTCAAGCTCATGGAACGTTGCCTCTCACGGTCCAGGCACAATGCTAAATAAAGCAAGTGGACATCAGGGGCACCTCAGGTCAGTATGGTTTGGCTCCCGGGACCCAACCACTCCCCTTTGCATGAATACTAGCCAAGCTCGCAGGTGCTGCAGGGGCGCTTGCTGGCTGCTGCATTGAGCAGCACAGCTGCCCAGAGCCTTATCTCATCAGTGAACACTGGGCACTGATGTCAGCAGGCCCCAAACAAAGCTTCCATTGGGGGCACAGCAGAGGAGGGGCACAGCCACAATAAGAAGGCAATTGCGTGCACTGTTTATCAACATTTGGATGACAAAGATTTTGGCCAGTCTCAGAAGCACAGCGTAGTGATCTCAGAGAGAGATGGGCATTGTGCAGATTTAGGTCGAGAAGAATCGCATGAAGGGCCCTGCACAGAGGCATCTGGGTGGGGAAGGTAACCCAGGGCTTTGGAGTCACCTGCTTTGGAGTTGAGTCCAGACTGAGCCACACTGAGCTGTGTATCCTTGGACAAGTCACTCAACCTCTCTGGTCTCCAGCTTCCCACAATCTATCTCCTTACTCTCTTGGGCTTAGTTTTCCCATTCCTCACAGGGGGGAGTAACTGGCCCCTCTCACAGGATAAGCCCAAAGGAGATCGTGCCCAATTGTCAAATTCTCTAGGTGTGTGAGTGCCCACGTGGCACCACGACCTGTCTAGTGGAGACTGAGGCACCAAGAACAACGTGGCAAACTCTTGCCAGATGGGATTGTATGCCTAGGCTGCCAGTCTATATAGTACCAGAATTTGACATAATACAGTGCTATCAAGGAGCCCTAGCACCGAGACTGCTAACCAATAGCTTGGCAGCTTGAGCCCACCAGACACTCCACGGGAGAAAGGTATGCCTCTATCAAGATGTATAGCCTTGGAAATCCAACGGCAGTTCTGACCTGTTGCTATGAGTCACAATGAACTTGAAGTCAATGGGGTATGCTTATCTCTAAAACGTGTCCGAGGGCTGTGTGATCTCTCCCTAACCATTCTGAAGGCACCGAGGCTCTCGGTGCTGGGTGTCACTGTGTTGTGAATTTGGTGCTTGTCAGGGAAGAAGGGAGAGATGAGGACTGATAAGTCACTGTCATGGTGTGAGTACTGTCTGTCAGGCCCTGGAATAATGACCTCTGCATGAGATGTGCCTGTTTATCCCTACATCATAGACCTGTGGACACTGAGTCTGAGATAGGGTTCTGAAGTCCACCAGGGGTAGGTGGTTGAGAGAGGTTGAGTTAGACCATAGATCTCCCTAATTCTAAGACCTAAATTCGCTTCCTTTCAATATTCCCTCTAATAGAGGAATCACAGATTCCTCTTCTGTTTTTTCCTCCTGAGGAAACTTCATCTTGTGGAGTCACAGTCAAACTTGGTTCACAAAGCAAACAGAAAAAAGAAATGTATGAACATCCACATTCCAGGTAATGTCTCCACAGGCCAATGGAGCAAGGTGGAAACCTGAGGTCGTCTTTCTGACCTGTTGCTCAGGTAGGAAATGCATGGAGTGGACGCATCTGCTCTGCAAGGTCTGAGAACCAACGTGAAATAAAAGGTAAGACTGAAAAAAGAGTATGTCAGATCTTTAAAAATGATTAATGCCATACACACAAGAAATTATTTAAAAGCCACGCCCGTGGTGTCATTGCCTACATTTGTTTAGAAGATGTATAGTTACATGAAATTAGAAGGTATGTGTAAGTGCATTCAGTTAGAAGGCATGCGTAAGTACATTCAGTTAGAAGGCATGCATTTTGAAATCCTGGGAATTCCAACAGAGCAAGATCAGGCAGGGTTCAGGGGGAAAGATGCTGGCTCTCACTCACCATGTCTGACGGCCTTCAGAAGCTTTCTCCAAACACCGCTCTGGACGAGATGCAGCTCCTTTCTGGCTGGCGTCATTGGCTTGCATCTCCCATTTGTAGGAGCATCCAGCGGAGCGAGCGAGGGCAGCAGAGCAAGGAGAGCCCAGTGGGTGGAGAGCCCCCACCAAGCCATTTATGGTCAGGGGAGTAGTCAAGCCCTTGGTCCACCCCTCAGGAAAGATGTTCTCCACCTCCTAGCCACTGCGTGGCACACATTATCCACTCTTTGCTCCATCTTCTGTCTTTCTTACTTCTCAGGTCCCTTCCTTGGTACATCTCAGTCACAGCAACGAAGCCACAGCTGCTCTGAGAGCTTGAAGGCTTCTGAAGCCAGCCACTCTCTAGAAACAATGGGCTACACAGGGCTGTGGCCCGGTAGCATCATCCCCAGCTGACAGGCACGTCGTTTACTCCTTTCCTGGTGCTGAGGAAGTCCACACCTTACCAGTATCAGAGGCAGCCTGGAAGGTGGGCACCGGAGCCCGTTATGTTTCTGAGACAGCGCTGTAGCCGCCATGAGAAACACCCACTGCACAACGTGCCGTGTGCCGCTGAGCTTTGATTCACGCCCATCCTGTGCTCACATGTTCAGTGGAAAACATCCCAGAGCCAAAGAAAGCAGTTGACCCAGGCTGCTTTCTAATTCTTATGAATTAAGAATCAATTCTGTTTGCCTCTTTCAAGTGGAGAAGGAGTTGGAATCCCGTGCCAAGAAAATGACAGCCAGTAATGGGGAATGCCAGTAATTTGGTCATTTAAACGGATGCATGCATTCATGCAACGCATCTCTCTGACATGTTGAGTAAGCATTAGACTGCTAACTGTAAGGCTGGCAGTTCAAACCTACCAGCTGCTCCTTGGGAGAAAGTTGAGGATATGTGCTCCCATCACAATGGACAGCCTCAGAAACACTGCGTTGGGTTGCTATGAGTTGGCCTCAACTCTACAGCAGTGGTGGTTCATTTGGGTCTCTGTTAAAGGGTTCAGGTGGCTCAGAACCAACTTGCTGGCTACCAATAGTTAAAATTAACATGCATCAAGGACCATTCAGGGCGCTTCTTGGTCGAGGCGACTGGGGAGGCGCTCACTCTCGATATCTCTGAGAGAGGACATTAGAGCTGCTCACGAAAGATGAGGAGAAGGTAGGCACAGGAAGGCAGAGGAAAGAGAGTCTCAGGCAGCAGGCACAGCAAAATCAACAAAGCTGAAACAAGCGTGGTATGCCCAGGGAACTGGAAGGAAGTTGGTGTAGCTGGAGCCACGGGAACCAGGGAGGAAACCTGAAAGGGGGCTTTAGACAGAATGAGTTAGAGACCTGATTTTCACACCCAGGAAAATGGAGAGCATTTCAGGGTTTTTAATAGGACAAAGATGTGACCTAATGAATGTTGGCAAGCTATCACTCTGCCTTCTTTGTAGAATAAGGGATTGTAGGGACACAAAGGGATGTTAAACTGGTTAGCATGATCTGAGTAAGTGATGCTGGTGTCTGCCCAGCGTGGAGGCAGTGGGAATGGAGAACGGTGACTAGATTGGGGATTTATTGTGGAAGGAGTGGCAACAAACATCGATGGAGAAAAAAGATGATGTAGCGGAAGGAAAGTGGGGGAAAGAGTAGAATAAAACTGATTCCTGAGTCTAGGACTTAACCAACAGAGAGGATGGAGGTATCCTGTATTCAATATGAGAGAACCAAGGTGAAGCCTGGGAATCCAGAGCTCTGTTGGGGCGACCTTAAACTTGAACCACCATGAGCTATCCAAGTCCTTGTGCCAAGTCAGTCTTTGGATAGAAGGGGTGTGGGGGCTGAACGTGTATGTCTGGAAGTGGTTGTTGACCTGTCGATGGCTTTCAAGTGGCAGGAGTTCATGAGCAAGTAGGCAGAAGAGAGGCCAGAGGCTCGTAGAGATGGGGGGGCTGGTGGATCTTTAGGGCCTTGAGAGAAGCGGTAGAGGTGAGCAAGGGAAGGGAATTCCGGGAAGTGGAAGGTCACAGAAATGTTCCAAGCATTGGGGAGTGGCGGATTATGTCAACGCTGCTGTGAAGTCAGAGAAGTCATCGGGTCCCCAATATGAGGGTCGCTAATGATCTTGACAAGAGGGGATTCACAGCACCATGGAGGAAACAGGATTGCTTTTCATGCAGGGGCGTTTCTATCCTGTCGACACCCTCGAATCACCAGAGCGCTTAGCAAAGATCTCGCTGCCTGAACATCACCTGCAGAGATTCTGATTTAATCAAGCGCAGATTCTCAGGTGCGTCTGATGAACCGGAAGATGTTAGAACGGCTGCTCTATTCACTCACTGCTCCATAAAGATTTACAGACTCAGAAACACAGAGGAGCAGTTCTACTCTGTCCTGTGGGGTCGCAGTGACTCGGAATCCATTCACGAGCACTGAGTGGGGTTTGGCTCGTGTGGATGCTTCCAGTGATCAACAACCTTCCCTCTGATGGACACATTATCCGCTCCAAGAATCTTTCACCTTTTCACCAAGTGGTGCTCGGGCGCTCTGTAACAATGGTCCTCGGGTCATAAACAGCTGACGAGACTCTGAATGAAGAGGAGTTAGGGGTTGGCTGTGGTGGTGCTTATAAAATGGATGGGGGGGGTGGTGCGGGGTACCAAGGAATCGAGTTTCTGGACAGAGCTAGGTTGTTCCTAGAATTCAATAGCAGGGACTCTTGTCATGTCTTCCCAGGAAAATGCTCTTAATCTTTTTGCCCCTCGGGTCAAGATTCAGATTTCAGAAAGCACATCTGATCAGCGGGACACAACCAATGGCCATGCCCCAATCCCACCCCAAGGGGAGTCCTGCACACGGAATCTGAGCCCTGCTGCCAAAAGGAGAGAGGATGGGTAAAATCAGTGAGCTTGCCTCCTCTGGAAGCAGCAGCCCCGAGAACCACCTCGTTAGAAGTTATGTAAGGAACGCCTTGAGTGAATGGGAGCTCGGGACCTCCGGCTTTGAGGCTCTCTGATCATTTTTCTTTTGCCGTCATTTACGTTTGCACAAGTTCAATCGCCCCGATGCTTTGCTAGACAAAAGGCTGGACGTTCCAAATGATGTTGTTGTCTGGGGCCATGGACTCAGTTCCCACTCAGAGCCGCCCTGGGCACCGCAGAATTAAACACCCAGCCCTGCACCAGCCACCCCATTGGTGTGTTTGAGACCACGCTTTCTGCCCCGGCGTCAGCGTCCGTCCACTTGTCAAGGATCTTCGTCTTTTGTTCTTGCTGTCCTGCTACTTTACCAAGCATGACGTCCCTTCTCCAAGTGATAGGTGGCCTTATTCTGCTTTTCTGGAAATCTAACCAAAATGTCAGCAAAGAAGTAGGAGATTTCATCAACAGATGAATCCTGGTCATCTCTCTAGAGGTAAGTGTCACGTATGGGCATCACTAGAGTGGTCCACCCACTATGTTCAGCTCCTCTTGTTCTGGCGTCACAAGTGGACTATGTGTTAGAGTTGCCGTATGCTTGCTTTGGCCTTGAAGCAGGAGGAGCTAGGATCTGTCACTTCTAGGCAGGGTCTCAAGAGCGAGTGTGTGGTCTGTCACCCTCTGTTCCTCTGCCATCAAAACCTACACTGCTCCAGACGGTGGCTGGTGCACCAGCCTGAGTGCTGCCGGAGGAGGGCAGGCCAGAGCTCCCAGACAGCCAGAAATGGACGTGACATGTGAACAAGAAATACGTTTCTTATTGTTTCAAGCCTCTGAGATGTGGGCCTCCTTTGTTCTTGCAGCACAAGGCAGTCTATACTGACTGATACACCAAAGGCTCGCACCCTGGTCTGAGTATTTTCTGCTGCCTTTTCAGTTGAAGTTCTCCTGCTTTATTTTGTCACTGTTGTGGTTGAATTGTATGATTTTCTGTACATGAGATGCAGGATAGATAAATCTGTGGAGACAGGAGCCGGGTGAATGATTACCTGGGGACCCGGCGGGGAGATGAAGGCAATGGAGCGCTTACAACAAGCATGAGAAAGAAGGTGTTCTGTATGGATTGTGGTGATGAACATACAACTCTTCGAAAGACGACAGAATGATTAAATGACATGTGGATTATATACCAATAACACTATTTTTTTCTTAAAAAAAAAAAAAAGAACTCAAATTCTCCCAACCCTAGGACTCTTCCTTTAGGTCCAGAAGGGGAAATGCACCTCGGTGAGGTAGGTGGGTGGTAGGTGGATGGATGGATAGATGAAGAATAGATATACATGGGTAACAAAACAAAGTCCAAACCTGTTGAGTCTGTTCTAACTCAGAGACACTATAGGACAGAGTAGAGCAGCTCCCCTGAGCTTCCAGGGCTGCAGCACTGATGGAAGCAGACTGCCACCTCGGTTTTCCTGTCAGAATGTCTTGTGGATTTGAACTGCTGACCTTTTGGTCTGCAGCTAGGCACGGTTAGCCACTGCACCACCAGGGCTCCTTAGATCGATAGACCTAGGTTGTAGACAGATATAAAAGAGGGACTGCTTCAAAAGATCAGGAGTCAAAAAACCTGGAGAGTCTGCGTGTATATAAATAATTGCATGTATTAAAGGACTATGTATTAAGACTCATCTGATTTTTTTGTCACAACATAGTCCCATATTGGCCTTCACAGACATAAAGCACACAACTCCAAAGATGCCCGAAAGCTTCTTCATCGTGAGTCCTGATTATACATAGTCATTGTCCTCACATTAGAAATCACCTAGAACATTTAGAGCCCCATCAGGAAACAGATGATATGCCTGATTTATTACTGTGGTAGTTACATGATCTGTGGTCAATTTGAGACTTAAGAGTGAATGGGGTGGAGTTTAGCCTGTCAATCAGGTCACAGCTTGATGACCTCATTTGGAGCCACTACAGAGATAAATAGCTCGCTGGAGGTGGGACACTCAGACACTCCCTGGGAGACATGCTTACTGACAAGATGGAGCCCTGGAGCTGAAGGAGCCATGTGGAGACCCCTGCCAGCATTGAGATGCTTCCGCCACCACTGGACCCACGGTTTTCCATCCACTGGCCTCTGATCTTCCTGCATTCGGTGTCATTGCATGTGTTGTGGGAGTCTGAAGAGGAATTTACACATTGGTACCGGACATAAGGGCTAATCTCGGATTTATGGGCTTGATCTGGACTGGGCTGGGATGTTTTCTCAATATTCAATTGCTCTTTTACATAAAACTCTTTTTTATACACATGTGTATGTCTATGAACTTCTTTCTCTAGCCTACCCATACTAACATAACTATATTTGAGGAGGGTGTACTGCAGGGGCTGTTTGTAAATGTCCTTTTAAGAGATAGAACAGTGATATAGTTAAAGTTTATTGTGCCAACCTGGCCAATAAACACATGTGGGGTTAATTGAGGGGCAGCGAGATAAATGGCTCAGTGAGCCTTGCCTTTCTAGTTCTCAGGTCTCTTGCTTTCTGAAGGTCGGACCAGGGAGTAGCTGCCTTAGCCAGTTCCCTGCTTCAGTTTGCAAGGCTCACTTCCTGCAGGACATCCCCGAGGAGAAACAGTATGGACTTACACCGATGGAGCCCTGGGTGCTGGAGCAGCCGTGTGGAGACCCCTGCCAGTGCTGAGATGCTTACACACTCACTGACTCAGCTTTCCTCCTGCAGTCGGCCTCACTGCGTCTGTTTTGTGAGATGGAGGAGGACTTTGTGGACTGGTGTCATTGGACATGTGGGCTTGGGCAGCACTGGGTCGGGATGTTTTCTTGATGTGCACTTAATCTTTTGCTAAAATTCTCTCTTATACATGAGTTTCTGTGGATTTGTTTCTCTAAAGCACCCAAACTAACCCAAGCAGGATCCCAGGATGAAACCAGTGTGGGCCATTGCCCCTCACAGGCCTGAATGGGCAAGCCGAGGACACGGCGTCCAGACCTGGAGAGAAAGCACACCCTAGAGTGCATGCCCCTCTCTCACGGCAGCTATCACACCGCCGGGTGGCGAAGGCTGGGAAGGGAAACTGAGGCACACGCTCACTGACATCAGGTTGATGCGAACTCACAGCGACCCCACAGGACGGGGTAGACCTGTCCCTGTGGGTTTCTGAGACTGTCACTCTTTACGGGAGTAGAAAGCCCCTCTTTCTCCCGAGGAGCTGCTGGTGGTTTCGAAGTGCCGACCTCAGTCCGCACTGAGGGCTCCCTATTCTACGTCCCGCTTACCAGCTGCAGCCGTCCCGCTGGTCGCCAGAGCCAGCTTGTTTGGCACAAGGAGTGGGCGGCTTGGAGAGCCAGTTTTAGCTTGGCTCGTGATCTTCTGAATGAACGATATCCTGAAGCCAGGCACTGGGACAATCACTGGAAAGTGGAAGGCCAGAGAGAAGGCTACCCTTTACGTCTTCTCTAGATTCTCGAAGTATTGCCCAGAGGACCAATCTTGGCTGGACGCCTGACGTAAAACCAAGACACATCCATAAATCCACTTTCTTTAATGAGATGATCTTTCTAGACAAGACACATGTTAACTCCTGTCCGCTGGCTTTTTGAAAATGACACCATTTCATAAAATTTAAAATTATACAAAATAAAAAACATCCATGTCTTTGTAGATACACACTTTCAACCGTTCATTTTCCGTTTCAAATGTCACATTTAATGTTTTCACCACTGTACTTCAAATCTACGTTGTACAAAGTGACCGGTGAGTGTTCCATGGTCATTGGACCACCTCTAAGAGTTTATCTTTCTCACCAGGGTCTTCTTGGGGTCTTCTGATCCTAAGCACGTTTCTCAGTCACGTGAATCGAAATGCTTCAGTCAGGGACACCTCTCTGAAAACATCAGCGGAAGTCAAGGAACACAAAGAGAATAAGGGACGCCTTAAATTATCTGCGAGTTATTAAATGGACCAGATTACTAGCCAACGCCACTATAAATTTGCTAGTGAGTGGGTGGGTGTTCATTGTTTAAACAGGTTGAGCAACTCACCAATGGTGTGGAAATTTTACTTTAGAAGAACTGGTCTAACGGTGAACCAGTGGGCAGCCTCATTTCCCCCGGAGAGACTCTGCTGGCCAAAATGGATAGCCAGCCCTGACCTTGCACCTGGGACCCAAGTTCTAGATTTGCTAGACTAGATTGCACTAGGACTGGACTGAAATGGAGTCCCCAAATAGATCATCAGTTCTTTCTCCACTAATTCCCTGACCTGAGACTAATCCTGGAGCCTGGTGAGATCCCCCTGGCCTGGCACCCACTTGAAGGACTGTCACCTGGAGCGAGGGTCTCTAGCGCCTGCTTGCAGGCGGGCTGACAGGAAGGTTACCGAGCCAAGGCAGAGGGCTTGGGTCTTTCTGCTAGCTGCCTTTCTCTGGTCAAGCCAGCCTTGTGCATTTTTGTTTGTCTGTTTGTTTTTGTTTTCTGGAACCACGTGGCTCTTGCGTGAATCCCAGTGAGCGTGTTCTCCCAGCGGAACAGCTGGCCCAGCCCCAGCTGAAACAGAGCTGCTCTTTGGGGGAATGCATCACTCACAGCAGCGCTCAGTAAAGGTTTTCACAAACGCCCATTGTTTGCCATGGGCCGTATGTCGATGATGGTGGGAGCTGTGTGGTTTTGAAAATGCTCACACTGCAGAGGGAAGAAGCAGTGCCAGGGTCTCACAAGGTGGCGGGGGCCAGGCAGGGCAGACTCTGCCTGGGCAGAAAACCAACCAACAAACTCGTTGCTGCCAACTCCACGTGAAATCACGGCGACCGCGCGTGTCACCATAGAACTGTGTGTGGTGGTGGGGGTTTTACAACAACTGATTTTTTGGAAGTAGATCACCAGCCCTTTCTTCCGAGGTGCCCCTGTGTGGATTCTAACTTAGCACCTTTGGGTTAGTCTTTTCCTCTTATGCCACCCTTCTGAAAGGACTACACCCCAGAATGTTCGTGTCCTTGGAGAGCTGTGAACCCTAAGAATGACCTTTGGCCTCCAGATCTCAGTCTCAGCTTTGACAGGTAAAGTGAGGGGGTAAAAGAACTCCAGAAAAAGCCCAGAATCACAGAGCTGGAATCCCCTGGGAGAGCGAGGGGAGATCTGAACCCAGGGACAAGCTGCTCTGCTGGCAGGGTCAGCCCCGTCTTGGGCACGAGGACACCGGTGGGACCTCGGCCCGTGACCCACGAAGCCCAAAAGAGAGCTCGGTGGGGCGGGACAGAGACTGTGTGCTGGCACGTGGGGCATGACAGGCACGCTACGTGTGGCCAGCGGGTCGGCATTTTTCATGTTGATTAAGGCTTTGATAGCTGATCCTTTACATACATACATATAGACAGACAGAACTTTTAATAATACTTTGCTTTTGCTTATGCATTTTCTCATACATTTCTTCTACCTTGGGATTCCTCTTTTTACTCCCCGCCATGATGTTACGTAGGCATACTCCTCCAGGGGGCAGCTTCTAATTTAAAAGTGTGTGTATGTGTGTGTGTGTGTGTGTGTGTGTGTGTGTGTGTGCGTTTATATACGTCCCTTAGCCTATGTTTACTAGGATGGTGATTCATCCCACAGAGGAAGCCGGTGCTGAGGAGCTGGGCCGAGAAAACCATTCTCATGTGCTGTTTAGTGTTGAACACCAATTGAACAGGGCTGACGTTATATAAACATTATTTAAACGTGATCCCAACATAAATAGTCTTTTAAAGCTAACACACCACAGCTTTTAGCTCATAATGCCCATAGACACCTTAATGAAATGCCATTCAAAACCACCCGCTGCTTAAATTGGGCCTTGAGGTTCCAAAATTACGTAAACGTCATCCTCTGCGGTCCTCTAGAACAAGTGCCGGGGGGTGGGGGGTGGGGGGGTGGGGGTTTCAGTTTCCATCAAAGACCAGCTCGTGGCAGCGGCGTTGCAAGCGCACCCTTTAACCTGTGGCTGGACTACAGGAAGCACGTTGCACACAGTCTTGAGTCTCGCGTGACTTATGAGTAACCAGTTTTCCACAGTTCATCCTGTTGAGGGGCCTGAGCTGGCTCGCCATGCTTGCTCGTCTCTGTACATCTTGCAAATGCCGTTTGTGTGGCTGGCTGTCAAGGAGTCAAGGTTGGCCAAGAAAGTGCCGCCTGAGCTGAAGGAAGAAAGGTTGCACGCCCCTGGGATCCCCCGCAGAGGTGGTGACCTCTTCTACGGGCCAACGAAGAGAAGCTAAAATGTTTTCCTCCAAGCAAACTCAGGGCCCTTGGCAGCAGCAATAGCCCCGCTGGAAATCAGGGTGGGTGTCTTTACAAGTGCCCGAGGCAACTGCTATTGGCTGGTGCCAGCGTGATGACTGTCCATTCATCGAGACCCTTGGTGTGACCAAGTAGAACGAACTGCCCGTGAGGTTAGAATCTTCATGGGAGCAGACTGCCCCGTCCTCCTTCTGTGGAGTCACCGGGTGGGTTCAAACCGCCAAGCTTTCCATTAGCAGTTGAACCTGAGCCGTTCTTTGCCCGTCAGGTGCCGAAGCCCCACACGAGCAAAGGAGAGCCCACGGCACAGCGGATGCTCAAGGTCTTCTGACTTCCCGGCCATGATCTGTTGGTACTTGGAGCGCCCTCTGGGCCCCTTACCCCAGTGCTGTTCGTAGGGCTCGCGTCCACCCCACGTGTCCACGTTCCTGGCAGAGAACGAAGGGGGACACCCTCACTGTGAGAAACAACTCCTCCACACGCAAGCTTTGATCCTCGTTGCCCAGTGTGGAGCGCAGAGTACGTGGGTCTCCGAGACACAGCCACACCACCTGGCACTGACAGAACTGTTTCCAGAAATAGAGGAATGACCGAGTAGAGTGCCCACCTTCTCCATCACAGGAGTAAGGGGCAAGGAGCCTGGCTAAGCGTGGGCAGAGCTTGAGGGTTCAAGTGACTTCAAACTTAATCCCCCTAAAGGCCCATGCTCCCCACCGCAGCAGCAAGGATAAAGGGAACGTTTCTGTCTTCGTGGTTGGCCGGGTGTCCTTATGGATGCTCACCCAAGTAGCTACCTTTAAGACTGGTTTCTTTGAGTTTGCCAAGCAAACACACACACAAACACACAAACGCTGTACATTGTGGTAGAGCGGATTCACAAGGTGCTTTGAGAAAGAAACATTCTCAGCCGTGGGTCTTTCGGGAACGTCACCGTCATTTCCTCATGTGCAGGGCATCCTGGAACTTGGTGCTGGTGTATCGAGCATGGAAGCCTTTCTTGTTGATGGTGTCGTCCGTGTGGAATCGAATCATCAGGGAATCCCCTGCGGAGTAGATTTCTTCCAGTGGCTGAGGAGAGAAAGGAAGCCCAGGGAAGGGTCAGTCAGCTGGATGCACTTGGAATTGACACCAGGACCTGGCTAGTGCTACCACAAGGCCTCGCAGGGGATGGGAGCTCTGGGGGGCATCAGACCCAGCTCCTTTTCAAAGGAAACCAAGGTCACCTCTATTCCAGAGCGCTCTCCGTGCCCTGGCCTCCCCAAGACAGTCCTAGACACATAACTCCTACACAAGCTACGATTTAGGGAGCTCAAAGGCGGGTCACGCACCACCCGGAAGTACTTTCAGATCGTATGTACGTTTTGCAACAGCTTCATAAGACAGGCACTATCTCCAGTGCATGCTTGAGGAAACTGAGGCCCCAGTTCACACAGGCAGGCAGGCCCAAGCTTAGGTCTTTCTGAGACGAGAGTGCGGACCATGAGTCACCCGGCCCTATGGTCCCTTGGTGAGGGTTCTCCAAAGAAAGCAGAGACCAAGACCATTGATTTGGACAAAACTGGGATGAAACCACTCAACTTGTCAGAAAGGTTTGGCCAGGTGGTCTAAGCACGGGAGCCAGGCTCCAAGGCGATGGTCCAACAGGTAACAGTTGCCCCCCACGCCCCGGGCCTCCCACACACCTCACTGCTCCCAGGGACCCTCTCTCATGGAGTCCCAGGCTTGAAAGAGTCTATCTGTCAAAGGCACCGCAATGGTTAAGTCACATTTATTGTCCTCTCTTTTGGGGGTGTGAGGGGAGATGAAGGGAAATGATTCAAAGACATCCGAAGATAAATACCAACTCGAGTTTCTGTTGAGTGTAAGACGACCAGTGACTCCAGATCGATTAGGCAAAAGTCTCAAACCAAACCGCAAACTCGCTGCCTCCGAGTCGGGGTCGACTCAGAGCGACCCTATAGGACGGAGGGAAACTGCCCCGTGGGTCTCCAAGGCTGTGCATTTTTACAGGAGCACACAGCCTCATCGTTCTCCCAAAAAGTGGCTGCTGGTTTCAAACTGAGGACCTCGTGGTTAGCAACCCACTACACCACCAGGGCTCCATACCATAAGGCCGTGGTTGGTCATTTCCAGGGGCATTGGGTTCTGTTTAAAGTGAGAATTATGAATATATGGAATCTGCAAAAGCATTTTTAAGCGTAAATATCAAATAAAAATGTGAAGGAAAACACACACCCCCACACAGAAACACAGACAGACAGACAGATACACACACCCCCACACACAGAAACACAGACAGACAGACAGACAGATACACACATACACACATACACACACACACACACACAACCTTGACACAATTGAGGAGCACGTCCTAAAACGCAAGATGCTTTTACAAGACTACCTCAGCCCAGGCCTCCCTGGGTGTCCCCGACTACCTCCCACTGACCTCATCCTCCAGCCTCCAGAAGGGGGCTCCCGGCTGTGGCCAGCAGGGGTAAGCTGACCCTCCGGGTGCAGGGCCTTGCTGCACCCTGTGCCGGCCTGCCTGCCGCGGGGGACTTACCCAGGAGCCACAGAAGCGGCCGAGCCTGGGCGCGGTGCTGTCGTAGCCGTCGTAGGCTTCCATGTAGTCGTATCCGCAGTCGGCCTCCTCCTCCACGTCGAAGGTCTGGAAGACGAACTCCACGCCATAGCCGTCCTCCGCCACGATGACCCAGTCACAGCGGGCCTGGCTCGGGTAGTTGCTGTCTCCAAACTGGGCGTGGGAGTAGAGCTCCTTGGTCTGCACCTCAGCCTTCAGCCTGCCCCCGCACTCTGGAGAGAGAGAGAGGTGCACCAAGAGCCCAGGCAACCCCCACCCACCCACAGGCCCGCCCATGCGCTCTCTCTTCACAGCTACCATGCAGGGGCGGGCGGGGGGCGCGTCTTCAGTCGAGCTGTGGTGTGTGCCTTGCAGAAGAATTCAACCAAGGCTCATCACTCCATCTTACAGAGGAGTAAACTGAGGTCCTGGCTCCAAGGTCAGAGTTCATGAGGGGATTCAAATGGACCCTTCAGGTTTAAATGAATTCAAATTATTTCCATCCTGGATCAAATCAGGTCTCCAGGGCCATTTGATCATACTACTGAGGGGAAAAAGTATATATGGGCTGTTTTCCCTCTCTCCGATCAGGAACACTGGTTGCGTAGTAGTTACCAGTTGGGCTGTGATCCAAAAGGTCCATGGTTCGAAACCACCAGCCATCAGCCGGAGAAAGACTCAGACACTCACAGGGGCAGCTCTACCCTGTTGCCACCGACGCGATGGGAGTGCACTTGGAGTGTTTGAGAATTATGGAGCCTGGAGGCCAGTGAGCCGTTTGTGTGATAGGTCACAGGGCTGTGGCTGTGTCCTGACCAACCACTTTAAGGCATGCAGACCCTGGCGTCATCTGGGGCGGGCTCAAACCTGCCAGACAGACACGCTGTGCTTTGTCATCGTTGCCAACAGAGGGCGCCAAAACACCACACACCTGAAGCTAAACTCCAAAACCTCGGAATCCACCTGACTGGTTCCTGCACCTGGGAGTCCTGACTGTGAGCCTCACCTGGGAGTCCTGACTGTGAGCCTCACAGGGGATCAGTGCCTCAGACGGGCTTTATAGCCTTGACTTCTGGGTTGACCTTCACTGGCTAGGGGCCTACGTTTCCCCCTGTGTGAGCCACTTGAGGCCAAAACCCAAGCCCACAGCTGTTGAGTGGATTAAGATAGGAGTGGATTAAGATAGGAGTTGATTAAGATAGGAGTGGCGAGGAGTCAGAACTGGCTAGGGGTAGTGGGTGAGAGGATCAAGTGGCGAGACTTTAAAGGGTTCCCGAGGGTGTCCAGCTTGACAGAAGTAAACGGCCTCGTCTTTGTCCCGCAGGTCACACAGGGTAAGTGTGTGCGTGGAACGGGTCATTAGAAAGCAACAACGAACCCCGGAAGCCAAGACCCCCACGGCCTTCCTTCCACGTGCCCCAGGCCCCCTGGTGTGGATTCTATGGGAAGCCCAAGCCTTCCCACTCCCAGGCCCAGGGCCCTGCCCAGCCTGGCCCAGAGACCTCCAACTCTCAGCTCGGTTGGTCTGGCTCGAAATTAGGGAGGAAAAAAAGTTTTAAGGAAAAAAGAAATCAGTGATATCAACAAAGGACTTCCATGTTGTTCATTAAGGACCTTAAAGGGAAATAGCCCTTTTCCTGACAGAGGGAAGCCCAACCAGTTAATGAACAGCCCGGGACCGGACCATGGTGCCCCTCCCCAGGCTTGCTTTGTGATGGGGAGGAGGTGCCTGGTCAGGTGCCTGCTTCCATTTAGAAGGGACATTTGCTCATGCTCTGCCCTCCTCTCGCCACCAGCCACAAACCAAACTCTCTGTCAGTGAGTTGATTCTGACACAGCGTGACCGACCCCTGTGTGCTTCTGGGCATACAAAGCCTCCTCTTTCACCCACAAAGCAGTTGGTGGGTTTGAACTGCCAACCTTGTGGTTAGCAGCCTAACTTGTCACCCACGACTTGCCCTGCCGGGGCCACCATCCCACCCCAGTGAGTGGCCCCGGCACCTGTACCTGTGCCGTGGCACCTGTACCTGTGCCGTGGCACCTGTACCTGTGCTGTGCGCTGCCTGGAAGCCTTTTCTCTGCACGGAGGCGTCGGAGTGAAACCTGAGGAGGAGGCTGTTACTTGAAGCCACCACGGGGGCGGGTTTCTTGCTTCCACAGAAACGGCCGAGGATGGGGGCCAGGCTGTCGGGGCCATCATAGATTTCCAGGTGGTCGTAGGCACATTCCTGGTGCTGCTCTATCTCAAAGTCGTGAAACGTCTGAGGAGGGGAACGCACAAAGGAAGGCACGGGTCTGAGACTCAGTGGGGCGGGGCGTCTTCTCTAAGGACCCACAGAGGCAGGTGGACACGGAAACTCGGCTACCCGGGCTGCTGTCGGGGAAGCAGGCAAGCCGCCACGCCGCGTGGGTGCCGGAGGAGGATGGGCTGGGCAAGTGAACACTTGGGCCCGTGACCTAACAAGCAGAGAGGGAAGTCGCAGGAGGGGTTCACATCTCAAAAGAGGAGGCTGGGGTGCCAGGCGGGGCAGGAGAGGGAGACAGGATGTGTTTTCAGAGGAATGACACCCACTCTTCAAGAAGCATCGTTCAGCACCCCACTGAGGAAGGGAGCATGGGTCAAGGAGACAGGGGTGGGAAAGGGGCTGGGGGTTGATCATGAAGTGGGAGGAGGGGCCCCGCGGTCTGTGTAAAGCCGTGGGGGAGACACGCTGGGTCAGGGAGGCAGGGTGCTGCCCAAGGGCCTGATGACACCCCGCCACTGTCTCCAAGCCATTAAAGCACCAGCTTCTTGAGGAGAAGTACTCCAGGCAAGAGACGGCCGTCCAGTTTCCAGCTGCAATCAGCTCGTGGTGCGGGAGGCTCAGATCTATTTGAAGTCTGGGCGCATGCTGGCCGGCCTGATCGACTGACAGTGTTTGCTCTTCAGTGTGATGAAATGCGTCCCAAGAACTGGGCGGGCTGGAGGGAGGGTGGGGTGGGGGGGTACAGACTTGCGACAGGACCGATGGCCCTTGGACAGAAACGTGGCTTCCAGCTGTGCATGCACAGTGCCTGTGCCCAGCATCATCCCCTCACTGGCACTAAACTCCTACTGCCATGCAAACATTTCCCAGCCGAGGGCAGTCTGGAGGGACGCAGCCACTCTCCCGTGGATTCCTGGGTTTTCAAAGCCGTACATCTTGACCGGAGCCGAAGGTGAGTCCTTCTTCTTTAACTCACCGACTGACCCAGGAGCACTGCCCTCGAAAGCCTTGGATCCAACAGGTACAGCCCGGTGACGACGAGGCGCTGGGTCATGGAGGACTCTGGGGGCAGCCAGCTTTGGCTCGTGAGAGCGCGTGAGCACCTTGTAGGGGTCAGGGGCCCTGCCTCCTTCACCAGTCCTGGGCCCCAGACCTGGCACAGCGCCTTCACCAACAGCTGGGCTCTAGCCCTGTCCCCCTCCCACACCCAGCTCCCACCTGCCTCTTCACCACAGTTTGTGGTTCAAGGCCCTCACAAGCCCTGGGGGCTTCCTTCTTCAGCATCATTTCCCCGTTCCTTCATCTCCATTCCCCGGCACCTTGAGCACGTCATTCATAGGGGCCCACGGAGGAGGTGCGCCTCTCCAGAGGCAGAGGGACGCACTGCTGAAAGCACTGGTCCCTCTGTCTGGAGGACCACAGCGCCTCTGGCGGTCAAGAGGGGCTGTTTTACCCTGCCGGCTCAGGGATGCGTTCTTGCCTTACAGGTAGCTGAGCCCAGCAGTGAGTGGAGCACAGGTCATTCGCATGCACGGAACTTTACAGAAAGGCTAGGGGCACTTTTTCTGTCTTTCTTTTAACTCCAGAGAAAACGAGCAGAGAGGCTTTCCTCTCCTCTCATGAATGTCTCAGAATGCAAGTAGTAAGGATGGTACATAATGAGACCTCATTTGAGCAAGAAGGAGAGAGCGTTCCTCTCGTGAGTGTGCATGCATGATGGGCTCACACGGGGACAGGGTCTAGAAGGATTCACAAGACAATATGCAAAGGAGTGGTTTCTAGAGCAGGTTTTTTTTGTGGGAGGCGGTGTCTAGGGACTTTGATTTCCACATTCCAAACTTGTATACTGGTGGGGTTTTTTTTAACCTTCAAAAAGTACTGCTTTTAGAAATCTTGAAAAATGAACAGCACCAGGACTGAAGGTCTGTGTGGGAGGTGTCCCTCCTCCAGCCCCCACCCAACGCTGGCGCCCCTGTGAGCAGGTGCACCCTGAGCTTTCCTCACGGGCCACACGGGTGCTGGGGACTTGGGTGTGCACGCTCCCTCCTCCGCGTCCACACAACAACCTCGGGACACAGGCTTTATCGTGTATCACATGCCCGTTCTCCAGATCATCACACTGAGACCCCAGTGTCCGGGTAACTTCCCCGAGCCTCAGAGCTGGGCTGTGGCAGAGCGGGGACCTGAACCCACGACAGCCTGCTGAGGACTCACGAGTTTCACTCGGTGGCCTGCCGTCGAAGAGATGTTCCAGGCGCACTCCTTCCGGCTGGGGTATTTGTCCGGCCAGTTGGGGCTCGCCAGCGTCCCCTCGGCACTGCCGATCTTGTGCTCGCAGCCAGCTAGGGGCAAAAGAGACCAACACACAGCAGGAGAAACCAGTCATTTGCCGGCCACCCCAAGGACACCTTTGGATGGGAGAAGGGAGTCTCCCTCACCCGTCTCTCTTATTTGTCATCACGGTCACTAGCAAAGGTGGGGAAAGGGTCAGCCTGAATCAGGTGTCCCCTGGCTCAGAGATTTGCTGATTGATTTGAATAACTCTTGCTGCCTTCCTCACAGTGGCTCAGGAATCGGGCCACGTGTCTTCCTGTGGTGATCAGTATAGACACAGGACTCACGGGCCAGAACACAGGCCCTGGGGTCCAACAGACCTGGGTTCAAATTCTGGTCCCACCAACTATCGGTTCTTATTTAAGCCCTATTGGTGTATGCTGTTGAATCCATTCCCATTCACGGTGATCAGATACGACGGAGTCAAGGAGCCCGGTGCGGCAGTGTCAGCAGTTCAAGCCTACCAGGAGAAAGATGAGGTTGTCTGCTCACGTAAGGTTTTCCAAGTCTCAGGTTCGAGTCTGTCCTATAGGAGAGCTCTAAGACTGAGTCAACTCTGTGGCAGTGGGTTTGGGTCTGTATTTGTAGCAGCAGCACCATACTGCCAAATGCTTGGCAGAGGCCAGGCACACAGAAAGGGCTGGGTTAACTAATGCTGAATCACGAAGATCTCCATTGGTAAACCGGCCACCTCTTTTAGCTTTACCAAGCAGCTTCATCTTGTTCTCAGCACAGTGCAATAAGCAAAGAGTGAACTCATAGTATGGTGGCCGATAGCATAGTCCTGTGGTAAGCATATGGCAAGTCATCTCTTATTTAAGTCTTACCATTTCCAAATAATAATACATGTTTGGAGTGAGTTAAGTGGCTTGCTGGTAAGTGGTAGAGCCAGGATCCGAACCCAGAAAGCCTGGGGTGCTGACGAGGTAGCTCTTCCTCATCCCACAACCATCTCCAGCTCACCTCTGCAGCTCAGGTTAGGGCACAAAAGGTGGCAGACAAGGGGGCCAGTGGAAGGCACAGGCTTCAAACAGGCTCCACGAGGCCAGCTCCTGCTCCTGCCCCATGCTGTGTCCGCCGAGCGGCCAGGCAGACAGTGGGTGCCCACAGGGCCAACGGCTCAGCTCCTGGAACCCTTGCCTTTATTCCCCCAGCCCCTTCCCTCAGGGAACCCACACGGTGGCTGCCACTGTCGATTGGCAGAACCGCGGTGGAAGTGATCTCCCTGTTGGTCATTTTTGTTTTGTTTGTTTAAATGTATCCTCTCTCCCATCACAGGAAGGAAGCCCAAGGGCTTGACAATGAGTTGATCAATTTCAGAATGAAAATGTTTTTTGCTACCACTTTGTCCACTTCTTCCACTCCCCTCCCACCCAGGCCTGTGACCATCCAGGCCTCTGACCACTCGCTCAGGGCCGTGCACTAGGGCTTGGGCATTCAGGGAACAGGAGGCAGGGGGAGCAGGATGCACCTGCTTCTGGGGTCTTAGTTAATCCTTAATATTCCAGGTGGGCCTGGCCAGGCTCGGCAGCTCCTCGGTCAAATCTCCTAACTCCCAAGTGTTTATGCTCGAGAGGGGGAATGGTGTTCACAACTCCCCTGACCTTTGCCTTCCTTTAAAGGGCCCCATGGCTGAGTCCAAGGCCTGGCGGCCTGAGCGGTTGTCAAAGGTGCCAGAATGCCTGCACTGAGCAAGGTAACAACAGAAGGAAAGCATTTTGCCAAAGGGCTGGCTCCTCAAAGCCATCTGGGTCCTAAAGAACCTCCTCATAGAGAGGGAGCGGGGAGCAGCCTTTCTCCCTAAGTCCTGTTTTCTCAGTAAGACCTGCATATGGCAACTAACGTTAGAACATAAACAGATGGTGTGCACGAAAATGCCAGGTGCTTCCAAAAACACTGTCAGTGCTGACTCATAGCAACCCGACAGGACAGGGTAGACTGTCCCTGTGCGTTTCCAAGACTGTAACTCTTGACGGGAGTAGAAAGCCCCATCTTTCTCCTGAGGAGCAGAGTGGTTTCGAACTGCTGACCTTGAGGCAGATCACCCTAGGCCACAGCTCTGAAACACTTCCGGACCTTCTCTCACAAAAAAAGTTTAACCCTTTCAAAATGGTTTTCTGCTTTGAATTGCTTTTTCTAGGAATCATGTGTTTTCGGTAATGGAAAGCATTTTGAATGCCATGAAACTTTTCTTTTTTTAAGGTAATAGGGATTTTAATGGTGAGTCATGTACATCCTGAAGGTCTCTGGGGTTGGGCTTGGTGGGATAAGGCCCATTTCTTCAGCTGTGCGCAGTTATGCAGGCTCCCACCAGATGGCAGTAAGCACTCAAAGTGCTTCCCACTACGCCCCAGAGGCACTGCCTACGGTATCTGCCGGCTCTGTATTCATGGCTCTAATCAGCCGTGGAATAAAAATATTCAGGGATGTTTCACCAGTTCATCGGCTTTCTTCAAGGTTGCATAGTAAGTATCAAAGTTTATTTGCCTGCTGGTGGTAAAACCCTGTGGCATCGAGTTGATGCCGACTTTCAGCGGCTCCATCTACGGTTTCCAAGGTTTGTAAATCTTTACAGACGAGACAGCCTTGTCTTTCTCCTGCGCCACCAAGGCTCGAAACACCTTATAGCACAGAAGGACACAGGGGGGCAGTATGCTGAGTTGAAATTAGTCAATTGCAAAAGGACAAATATTGCCTGGTTGTAAAAAAGTCAAGAAAATATGTTTAAACGAGGGCTCAAGTAGAAAGAAAGTATTTTGAAAATGATGATGGCAACAAATGTACAAATATGCTTGACACGATGGATGGATGGTGATAAGACCTGTACAAGCCCCCAATAAAATGATTTTTTAAAAATACGTTTAAGTTAAAAGAAACCTGATGGTTACCACAGGTAGGAGACAAAGAGAGAGAGGGGAAGTCATGTGATTGAGCACAAATTCTTACATTTATTTGACTCACTGCTTCCTTTCGTGGGTGAGTGGGGGGGTAATTATTCACCCCACCCCCACCCTGGGCAATGAAAACCTTTTGTACTATAGTCCATAGTAGTTACCTGCTTTTGCAGGCCCCCAGGATCATTCCAGCAACCCCTTTTTTTCAGTATCACCTTTTGGGGGGAAAACACTGCACTCATAGGTAGACAAGTGTTAAGCTGGGTAAAAGGAAAGGGAACATACCACAAGAGGGAAGTTGGCCCAAAGCAGTTGGAGGCATGAAAAGATAATGGTGTGTGTGTGTGTGTGTGTGCAAGAGTTGAAGGCAGCAGAGGCAAATCCTGCTGTCTACACAACCCTGCAAGAATGGTTTCTGCGAGTAACGGTCTACATGCTTGGGCAGACACAGGCTGGGCAGGCATGGAAGGAGAGTGGCAGTAAGCCCAGGGACATATAAAGCTTTGATAAGGGATATGTGTCTTTAATTTACTTTTGCTGTAAATATATCCACAAGTGTGGTGGAGCATGCCCAGGGCAGTTATGAAAATTATTTACACATCACCAAACACTTGAGAGAATGGGTCTCTGGGCACGGGGTCTTAGGACTGCAAAGTCAATTGGCCTAACATACTTCACACGGACAATGCTCCATATCCTACTTTGCTGACTAGCAACATGGATCTTACAAGTTTGTGAGCAGCCACTTAAGATGCAGCTATGTGTCTCTTCCCATCTGGAAGAAAGAAGAAGGGTGAAAATCCAAAGACATGTGCAAAGACTTAGTCCAACAGGCCCCTGGGATCATCCGTGTCACAACCCCGAGACCAGAAGGACTAGCTGGTGCCGGCTCCCATGACCAACTGCTCTGGAAAGGGTCCCTACAAAGGTCCCGAATTGAGTGGGAGAAAATGAGAAACGAAACCCCCAATCATGAAAGAGATCCAGCTCACTGGTCGGACAGAGCATGGTTGAACCCCAGAAACAATGGCCCTTAGACACCCTCCAGGTCTAAAACTTTAGTTACCCCCCATCTTAGAATAACCGGCCATTCAAGATCAAAGGGGCAGCATTTCCCAAAGACTGGGTACAGACGGTCAGAGAGGAGGAGGGATGGAAACAAGAAACACCGGGAGGAACTAGGGTGGACCGTGGTACAGGTTGGGGATTGCAACAATGAGCTGAAACTAAACCTGTAACCTTGCTTCATGTAAAAGTAATGAGGTGCTCTGTAAATCCAGTACATGATTAAAAGGCTGGTTTTTTCCTAATATTCAGGGGGAAGGAATAAGTGGACAAAGCAATCCCTTAAAGGCACATGCTATTTGCCTAACATTTACATTGTACTAGGAGTAAAGTCAGTCAGGTGATGATTTAAAGTATAGGGGAGGATGTGCGCGGTTATACACAACACACACACACACACACACACACACACACACACACACACACACGCACACCGGCCAAACAAAAACAAAACCAACCGATAGCCATTGAGTTGATTTCGATGCATAGAGACCCTATGGGGTTTCTGAGGCTGCAAAATCTTTACGGGAGCAGACAGCCTCATCTGTTTCCAGCACAGGGGCTGGTGGCTTTGAACTCTCAACCTTGTGGTTAGTGGTCCAACGCTTACCTGATGGCGCCACAGAGCTCCTTTGTAGGCAAATACTATATCATTTTATTTAAGAGACTTGACATTTATGAGTTGAGGTATCTGTGGGGCTCCTGAACCAATGAGATACCAAGGGAATGCTGTGTCTATCCCCCAAGTCAGGAAAGGATTGAGAAGGGGTGTATTTTTAAGAGCAGCAGAGCAGGCTCAGCAAAGTGCAGTCACTTGCCCAAGGACACACACCTAGTAAGTGACAGGAGCGAGGCTGGAAACCGGGAGGGGGAGGGGGGCCCCTGATTCGGGGCGGGGGCTGATTCTGAAGCCGCACTCATCAGCAAGTATCTGGAGGCCCCCAGCTGCCTCCTGGACCAGCGCACCGCCCTGGTGCCGCTGCTGAGCCTCAATGGGGTCCCTTCACCGGGCCATCTCCGCGCAAGGCCAGGCCTGCACCTCAGGGCTCCAGGACTCAACGAAGGACCCCTCTCTCGCCCTCCCCCCCATACGCATGCACACTCGGGTGGCCCACATTCGCCCCTCCCCGCGGGGGGGACGCAGCCTGACCTTCTTTGCAGTCGAGCCCGTTGTCGTGCAGCCGGTAGCCATTCCTGCACCGGCACAGGTAGCTGCCGAACGTGTTGACGCACTCGTGCTGGCAGCCGCCGTTGTCTTTGGCACACTCGTCCCTGTCTGGGGATCAGCAGAGTCAATTCAGAAGAAATGCCCGCCAGGAAAGGCCCCCACTCCCGACCTCCGCCCGCCCAGAGCCTCTGGAGCCCCCCGGATAGCTGGGCTGTGTTCCTTCACCACAGGGGAGGGAAGCCGCACAGCCACCTAGTTTGTGGGGGATTCCCGTAGACCTGGTGTGTCTTGGTTTCTCCACATCCTAAGGCATTTAAATGTCTATATCTTCTCCTGCCCGGTCTCCTCCCCCAGTAAGGAGCTCCTGGAAAGGCACTAAGTTCAGACCCGCTGCCATGAGCGGTTCTGAATCCTAGCTACTCTGCAGAACAAAGCAGAACTGGCCCTGTGGGTTTCCAGGGCTGTGACTCTTCTGGGGAGCAGAAAGCCACTCTTTCCCCCACGAAGTGGCTGGTGGGTTCGAACTGCTGATCTGTGGTCAGCAGTCTGTCGTGTAACCCAGGACGTCACCAGGGCTCGGGCTAATAGTCTCTCAAAAACTCCTACCCTCAAGTTGATGCTGGCTCATAGTGACCCTATAGGACAGGGTAGAATTGTCCTGGTGAATTTCCAAGACTGTAACTCTTTGTGGGAGTAGAAAGCCTTGTCTTTCGTGGCTGGTAGTTTCGAACTGCTGACCTTTCGGATAGCAGTAACCACTGTGCCACCCAACATGTAACCACTATGCCACCAGGCTAATACCACTACTAAGAATAGTCAAATTAACAAATATATATATCTAGATATATTATACTTTTTGGAATACTTACTTTACAATGGGCTGGGCATTGCCCCCAAGGACGTTCTATACGTTACATTAATTCTCACACAACCTTAGGAGGTAGGCACATGCACCCATTTGACAGGCCGGGTAACTAACTGCTGCTGAGAACAGCTAATATGGCCAAGGTTCCTGTGGGAGGAGGTGGTTGGTCTGTGTGGCTCAGAGGCTCTGAGTCCAGTGGCAGGTGGCTCTGTAAGCACGAGGACACAGAGGCAGCGAAGATGGCCGTGTGAAGTGAAGACAGACACGGAGTGACCGTGGAGTGATGCAGCCAGAAGCCAAGGAATGCTGAGTTACCAAGAGATACCAAGAGCCAGAGAAGGCAAGGCGGGCATCTTCCCTAGAGCCTTCAGAGGGAGCGTGGCCCTGCCCACACCTTGATTTTGGATGTGTGGCCTCAGAAGCGTGAGAGAATACAATTCTGCGGCTCAAATACACAACAGCAGCTCACCGCCAAGATAACAAAATCCCGAGCAAATGGGTCAAGGTGGATACAGTCTGTGTGGGGGCGTCAAGGCAGACAGGAGCTAGCAGGTACCCCAAGGCTGGGGGCCTGTGGTCCCCTGTGCCATGGCCTCGTCTCCAAACCCCCATACCTGAGAAGAAGTGAGCCCTGAAGCCGTGTTTGGACACAGTGTTGTCGGACTTGAACTCCACGCGCATGTTGTTGCTCTGGGAGGTGATGACCTCGGGCTTCTCCGAGCCGCAGAACTTGCCATGCAGCCTGGAGTCGGGGGTCAGGCCACTTCGGACCTCCACAAAGTCGTACTTACAGACCTGTGGCGGGTGAGGGGTGGTGTTGGGAAAGGACCTGGTGCCCCTGTGTCCCCCACCAGACTAGCTGTGTACTGCAGCATCCCCTCCTGGGAGGTCTAGCCTCTCAAGTGATGAGAGTCACAGGAGGCTATGGGTCCTTACAAGAACCCTAAAGCTTGATCTCGGTGGGGAGCATGAAGAACAGCTTGTGTGCTGTGCAGAGGGGGGAAATCCCTCCAACTCAAGGGGCAAGCAGGGCCTAGACCTACAGCTGCCTTGGCCTCACATCCTGGGGAGTCTGATGACCCTGTCCAAGGAAGGGAGCAGGCTGTTTAGATCATCCTTGCCCCAGCTGAACCTCTGCCCCTCTCTTTCTTGGCTGCACCAATGCCCAGTCATCCCAGGTCCTAGCTCCTCCTCTCCTGCTCGGATGTTACCTGGGCTAATCGGTGATCTGAGAGCCAAGGAGCTCTGTCTGCAGAGAAAGTGCAGCTGATTGCACTATGTGAAACGCTGCCCCATGTTCTTTCTGCTCGGCTGTGAGCAGCTCTGATCTCAGGAGCTCCTGTTCTAGTCGAAGCCAGCTCCCTGCTGGTTGCTGACCTCACCAGGCCCCGTGCTCTGAGCCCCCAGCTCAACACAGTCCCCAGAGAGAGAGTGAAGAAACGTACATCATTGCCTTCCAACTCAAACACTTCGAACTGCAGGGAGATCCGGTACTGAACTGGAGCCACCACCTGCCAGACACAGTTTTTGTTTGTGGGATACTCCTTCGGCCACCCGGGGCTGGTGATGGTGCCGTTCAGCTTGGTAATGAAACCGCCACAGGCCACTGCAGGGACGGACAAAAACAAGGTTCGCTTGGCTTGAGCTCCAGGTCGCTGCAGTTCCCCTCCAAGCAGCCATCCACCCTGCTGTTCCATAAGAATACTTTTTTTTAAATGTGAAGACAATCCGAACTGATTACTTCCATGGCTCGCCCTCTGCACCCCCGCCACCCACCCTCCCCCCAACTAAATTGTTTCAACTGAGGATTGCAGGGGAAGACATTGGGGACAACTTTCTATCGCTTTCATAACTGTCGACAAGGCATTGGTGGTTACCTGTCACCTAGGGGCACCGTGGGGGGCCCACATGCATGGACCAGAAGGGAGGTAGAAACGTTTGCGTTCAGCTGTGCCACACACCTAGTTTGCATAAACAAGCAGACCCATCCAGGCGGACAAGGAAAGTAAGCCGTCAGTCAGGGCACTGGGACTAGCTCGTCACTCCCAACATGCCCGCAGTTTTCTCTTCTTCTTCAAACTCACGATTCATTCCAAAGAAGCGACGACTGTACCGGACTCACAGCCTCACCTATCCTAAGACCAGACGTGCCCAGCGACCACAAATGACCATTCAGATCAGGGACGCAATAG